AACCCCCGCCTCCACACACCCATCCGGTGAATGAACCCATCTTACCTGCTCATCAAATCTAGTAATCACGGCCTGGACCCACTCCACTGGTTTGTGAGCCGCCATGGCCGCGCAGAGGGGACGCCGCGACGCCGAGACGCCGGATTCCGAGGCCACGAGCCCGCAGCTCACGGGCTGATTTGTGAATGAAAACCGGTCCCTGTGTGATGGGAAAGGACGAAAGGGGGCGAGTGTTTTTCCCTTTCTGTAGGCTTCACCATGCCACCGCCATGACACACCACCGGAAGTCTTCTTCAGAGAAGCTGGTGGGGAGGCGTTGGAGAGCCGACGCGTCAAGCCAGCGAGGGTGAGTCAAGAGCCACATCCGCGAAAGACCTTCAGAGTAAGGATTGTTGACGACGTGATTTTACTTAACGTACACTCATTCAACGCAAAAAGAAAACAAGAACCCCCGAATGTCTCTGGTAAAGGTTGATTTCCCCTTGTTGTGGTGACGAACAGCTGCTTTTGACATTTAGAGCTATGAAACACACGTTCATACCTCCAGAGTTGTATTGATGACCGCACATGAAAATGTGACTAGATGTTCTGCCTAAACAACCTCCAGTTTTTAACGGAGCGGTTTTTTTTCTGTCTTATTCTGAAGTATGACCTTTTTTACTTCCGCTTACAATGACGTTAATTCTGTTAGTTTGACGTTTGAACTGGTGCGCATGCCCGAAATACTCCCAGGTCAGGATGTTTTCATTTCTAAGAATGGATTTTATTTTCATTAACAAATCTTTGTCCTTCCCAGTGTTTCCAAAAGAAACTAATGTGTAAGACTTGGAGACTGGACATTATTTTATTAATGGACGTTTTTATAACATCATTATGAAAGAATAATAAAACTCAAAAAGTTGTAAATTAATACATTTAATATATATATTCTCTTCCCCCGTAATCCCTTAACCTTAAGCTCTTATTTATGTGCACGTTTATGTTAAGGTTACATTTGACCTTAAAATACTTAAACATGCATATTTATACATGTTTGTGTAGATGTACAGTATAATACACATATTTATGTGTAGATTGAAATGTGTCCCATATTAGTACCCAACCTCATTCAACACACACACACAACACACACTTCAGACCTGAATGTCGTCCAGCTTTTTTTGGTCATATTTCATATAATTAATACCTTCATACTTGTCTGCTATCAGATAAAAAGCACGGAAACGGAATAAGATCTTGACTGTATTCTGCAAAGAATCTTTCTGATTTCAGATTAAAAAAAACAATCTATATTTTTGATCTCTTAAAGAAAAAACTTTCATTGTAATCAGTTCATATCGTGATGTTATTCTAAAATAACTGTACCATGTCTATGATTGTAGGTAAATATTAACCTTCTACAGCAACCTTTTACCATGTTGTGTTTAAATTTAATCCACATGTTGAATTTAACAAATAATCCTATATAAAGTGCATTCGTATATCTTTAACGAATCCCAACATGGTTATGTAACAATACATTGTGTTTAAGTTACATATTTGTAAGTAGTTTTCTACAATTTTCATTGTTAGTGTAAACTATTTATAAAGCTGCATGTATCAAGGCTGCATTCTGTGTAGTGACCACCAGGGGGCGGTCCCCGGTCCATATATGGTCACTTCCTCACTAGTTGCAGCTAACGCTTCAAAACAAACAAGTCAACAAACCAATGAGTCGACCCGATGACCACGCCCACTTTTATATTAGACACACCTCTTCAGACTCTACCTCCACACCAACTGTAGCACTTACACTGGACTTATAATGGTTCTTATCTACAGCAAGTTGTAAATCGGCTTATTTGATGAAATTGCACTTTCTTCTTTCTTGTTTTTCTGAGTTTGTGTCCTCATGGTTAAAACGCACTTATTGTAAGTCGCTTTGGATAAAAGCGTCAGATAAATGACATGTAATGTCATGTATATAGTTTATAGGTCTGTCATAAGTCCCGCCCCTTTGCTCCAATTGGTTGATCGTTATCAACACACCCCTCCCCCCGCTTAGTTTTTTAAATAGTATCACACGTTATTTAGAAAAAAAATCATTTATTGAACTGAAACAACACGGTTGAATGTGCTAAGGCACGAGATATCGAGTGACTCAAATAATTTAATGGAACAAATTCACTTTAAAGACGTCACACATTCCACATGTGCATTCACATGTTTACCAACAGAATCCTCCTTTTTGTCCCTCAAGCCGCTCGCAGGTGAATCAGAGTCCAGAGGATCAACCTCTGTTAGTCCCCTGGGGCCGATCGTTTTCTCCTCCCTCAGACGCAGAGAAATAAACGCTCTTTGGTGGCGAAGCTTTCGTTGAGGCGAGCTCGCTGCGTCTCGACGGACGGGGGGCGGTGGGGGGGGGGGGGGGTAGCTACTCTCCATTCCTCTCAGCGGGACCGCCCCCTACTCCACGTCCCCGGGCCGGGTGGCCACGTACACAAAGACCACGATGAGCAGCACCAGGAAGGCCAGCGTCGGCACGACGACGGTGGAGACCTGCTGCCGCGCCTCCTGCATGGCCTGCTTGCGCTCCTTCTTGTCCCGGGACGTCTCCTTTTTGGGTTTGCCCTTGAGCTGCCTCATGGTGTCTCACAGGGAACCTGCAAAGAGAACCGATGGGAACGTGACGAGTCCGAACCCGAGAGGACAATTCCCGCCCCCTTTTGCCCGCCGTGGGGACTGTGATACAATATGATATTTCAGGGAAAACAAACAATACAACCAGTACTGAGTTGATGTCGGGACACAAATAATTTCATTAATGAATTACATTTATGATACTTGTCAATAGGAAAAATGATTCTGCATGTCAACAAAGTGACATCTGACAGAAAGCTGCGGAGGAAGAAGCAAGAGAACAACCTCCAAGATCTTTGAAGATGATCCAAAGCTTTGTGTGTTGAAGCTGCTTTCTCTCTGCAGCACCCCGAGTTCAACACTCTTCTTCCTCATCGATGAAGGAGCGATATCGACATCAGTTAGATTCACCTTTTATAGAGTTCTCCGAGATCACAAAGATCCGTTATGACATCACTTCCTGTTCCAGCACCATCGATGTCGACAAGGAATCATTTATTTACAAAGACCTTCTGCAGCCAGTCCACTGTCCCCCAGACTGTCCCACGCTGCCCCAGACTGTCCCCCAGACTGTCCCATGCTGCCTCCCAGACTGTCCCCCAGACTGTCCCATGCTGCCCCAGACTGTCCGACGCTGCCCCACAGACTGTCCCCCAGACTGTCCCACGCTGCCCCACAGACTGTCCCACGCTGCCCCAGACTGTCCCCCAGACTGTCCCATGCTGCCCTCCCAGACTGTCCCACGCTGCCCCCCAGACTGTCCCCCAGACTGTCCCATGCTGCCTCCCAGACTGTCCCACGCTGCCCCCAGACTGCCCCCCAGACTGTCCCACGCTGCCCCAGACTGTCCTACGCTGCCCCCCAGACTGCCCCACAGACTGTCCCACGCTGCCCCACAGACTGTCCCACAGACTGTCCCACGCTGCCTTCCAGACTGCCCCACAGACTGTCCCACGCTGCCTTCCAGACTGCCCCACAGACTGTCCCACGCTGCCCCAGACTGTCCCAGACTGCCCCACAGACTGTCCCACGCTGCCCCAGACTGTCCCAGACTGCCCCACAGACTGTCCGACGCTGCCTCCCAGATGCCCCACAGACTGTCCCACGCTGCCTCCCAGACTGTCCCCCAGACTGTCCCATGCTGCCCCCCAGACTGCCCCAAACTGTCCCACGCTGCCCCCCAGACTGCCCCACAGACTGTCCCACGCTGCCCCAGACTGTCCCACGCTGCCTCCCAGACTGCCCCACAGACTGTCCCACGCTGCCCCAGACTGTCCCACAGACTTGTCCCCACCGCTGCCCCAGACTGTCCCACGCTGCCTTGCTACTCAGGAAGTCGTTTCCTAGACCTACTCTGATTGACCAAACATTTTACTTGAAAGAAGTTTTGTAAGTAGAAATCAAGTTCAAACAGCTGACAGTGAACCTGCAACGTTGCTGCTCAGCGGCACTAAGGAACACGGAGACCAACAGAAGCACCACGCCGTCCTGCGTGACGTCACCTGGAATTACACTACAACCAGTAGCAATAAACTCACGTCAGTTGATGGGCGGGGCGTAAACGACAGAGCGCGCCGGTCAATGGGCGGGGCGTGACGTAACGCACTCTTCGAGCTCACGTTACACTCCGCAACCCAAACAAGGCAGTGACTTTTTGGAACGCTTACAACTACAACTGCAGAAGCTAACGTTAGCTTAGCACCTCGACGTATTCTGTTCCAGGCTCCTCGCGCCAGTCAGCGCGCGCCGACTTAAGGAGAACCGTTTAAAAGTTACGCTGAGATAAAGTACCGTGACAGCGGAGCCGCGTAACCAACGGGACGGTTCCTCCGGTCCTCGGGGACAATGAGCGGCCTCCTCCTCGCGGTGACACCGGAGAAAGTAGCGACCGTAAGTTGAGAAGCAGAGTTTCCTCGCGGAGCTCGACGTGGCAGAACGTGGAACAACGTCATCAAGCTAGCTGGGAGGAACACGAGTAGACTTCCGGCAATACCCTCCAAAATAAAGCGATGCCACTAGAACGTGATATTACGATAACAAGATTACTAATATCAACGTACACATAATACAAACGTATTTAAAATATTAATTGTAATATTTATGTCAACAAACATTTTTATTCTAATCTTCATATAAATATTTCAGGCAGCAACAAAACAAAATATATCTAATGAAGATATTTATCTAATTATCCCGATAAACAAAAATCGGGAAGAAACCAATGTGAGATTATGTAAAAATAACATGAAATACTATGTTGGAATCACATTTTAAAACGTGTACAGGTCAATTGAAAATATAGCAACAACATTCAACACCCATAAATACAGATTTAAAACCACATTTTGTTTATGCTCCGAGATGAAAGAAGAACACAGACGAACTTCTTCAAACGTCACATTTAATGTGCTCATCCATATTTGATGACCTAACACTTTTCCAAACATGACGGCAGACGCCGGAGTTCTGTACTTTACACACACATGCGTGTGTAATGTGTGTATATATATATATATATATATATATATCCACATACACATGCTGCAGGTTGTATATAAATTACAATGCATCTGATTAGAACATCAAATATACAAACATTGTAGGATAGTAAATAAAAGGAATCCAGTAGTTTTCTGAGTGGAGGTTCTTACTGTAATATTTAAAATGAGTCAGAGAGGAAGTGAAACAAAGGGGGGGGGGTCCTTCCACTGAACACATGTTCATTCCTGAGAAAATCCTCCAATAAGCAGGCTGATAGTCCTCATAAATACAGGAAACGCCCTACGATCAATAACACGCATTCCAACTACAAGCCTTTATAATATTATGTGATTTAAGAAAATAGCTAAACATGGAAACAATGACATACATCAGATTATCAGTCATAATGTCCTAGAACCAATTTAGTGAATCACTTTGTTTCAACAGGAGATCAAAGACAGTTTACCCTTAAAACATTTAGGAAACACTAAATTAAATCATATTATGATTCTAATGAACTAACAACTGAATTTGAAGAAGGCCGACTAGATAAACATGGAAACATAAATACTGCGATGCTCTTAAATGCCAGTGACTCTTAAACATAGAAGATTAAGTGTGAACGGTTTGATGACATGGGGTCAGTGCACGTTACCATGGATACGCCTACATCATGTGACGTCTAAAACCGCCTGGACTAGCCCCTCCCCCGAAAAACAAGGACTAACAGTCGGAGGACATCTTGACTTATTCATAAAAATACAAACATTTAATGTCAGGTGTTTGCTTGGGGGGGGGGGGGGGACCTGACAGAACTTCAGTATAAAAGCCTCAAATCAACATTCAAGCGTTTCTTCAAAACTGGTCAGAGAGACAGTGGACAAACAGGGAGCCAAGTCACTGAGCTCGGGAGGTAGAGAGCAAACCCGCCGGGCCGCACGGCGCCGCCGGGGGGAGTCCGGTTCACACGACGGGCTCCCCGGGGCCGCGGGTCAGAGACCAGCAAAATATATGTACACCTCGTAGAATGTCTCCTATCCAGCGGGTCCCGTGGGTCCATTTCTGCCTCCAGAGGGTACCGCTCAGTCTCATAGTGACCCGCTCAGAGACAGAGGTCAGAGGTCGCGGGACGGCGAGGAATCACGACACCTCAGCTCATTTCAAACATAAACTATAATTAACGAGGAGAACCGAAGATCAGACTTCTGTTCCTCCTCCAGTCGTCACTACGCAGCCACGAAGGTCCCGACAGACACACAAACACAAAAGGAAGAGACTCCAGAACCAAATACACGATTTAGATCCCCATCACTTTAAGACTCTATAATCCACCTTTTCCTCATTGAACCAGGAACAGTTTCATTATCGTACTCCGCAAAACATCACTTTTCATAAACAGATGTTCAGGAGCCTCGTGCACGAACGTCTGCATGTATTCATGTTCCTATACTTTCTCACACACACATATTATATTTATATAGATATAAATAGTTGATAGTCTTATTTTAGGTTATTTATGTTGATATATGAAAACAAAGAATGACATTAACATCACTCCTCTTTGTGTTTAACGTCTCTTCAGAAGAACTGGAGTTCAGACCGCCCATCAGGTCCATGTGGTGACCGAGCTGCTGATGAAGAATAACGGAATGATTTGTTTGTACACGAGGCTCCTGATCTTTGGCTTATTAATCGTTCAATAATTACGAGCTGTGGCCGAATTGGGGGGGGTTACAGTCGATCATCTAGCTCAGGAGAGAAAAGTGGGAAATGTTAAAATAGACATCTTTAGATTTATATTAATATATATATATTAAAAAAAAGAAAGTACAACTTCTAAATCTCATCTGAGCGGAGTAACCAGACGGAACCTTCAGATTCAGTCTCCTGGGGATCCTTCATTTACACCCCCCCCCTCAACAGTAGGACCCCGTGAAGTGACATTGGGTGGGTTTCTCCTCATGCACTCACAGCAGACCTGTGAGTTTCCATGGAAACGCAACGATGGACCACAGGCGCCTGCGCTTTGTTCCCAGTTCAGCAGCTCATCCGTCGGGGGGGGGGCAACGAGGATGATGATGATGGTGATGAAGGCTACTCCCACACCAGCGGAGACGGCGGCATTTCAGAGGGATGAGCCACGGTGGAGCTGTGGGAAAACAAGTCCTAAAGTTAGCGATGTGGTGTTTCTACACATGGACTTAAATCATCGTCCTGCCCCCCCGTCTCAACCAGAGACTCAATGGTACCAGATAAGAGGAAAGCTCGGTTCTGTAGTCACGCTAACATGACGTCACATTGAGCGTTGATGAAGCTGCTACATTGTTAGCATAGCTTAGCGTCGATTGACACAAGAAAACAAGCATTTTAAATCGTTGTCATGTTGGTATTTCTGCATCAATTTGATCTCTTTATTGTAATTAAATCAGAGCTAAACTCTGCTTTGGAAAAGCTGATTGAGTTTTTTTTTCTCGCTAACAGTGTTGCAACATGTCCGGAGTTAGCCTAGCTTAGCACGAGTCCTGGCTAGCTAGCGCTAAATGAGAAGGAAAGCCTTGTACCTGATGAAGCTTTTGAAAGCAGCGGATTGCGGGTTGATGCAAAGCGGCACTCGACTCCCCTTCTGCTGCTCCAGGATGAACTGGTGGATGATCTCTGGGGGGGAAACAAACCTTCCTGTTCCTTTCTTTAACATCAGCTCAGCTGCTAGCAAGTTGTTCTCAGTTAGCGAGGAAGCAGAATAGTTAAAAGAAATACAAAACACATTTTTTAGTTAATGATGAAATTCTCCCCCCAATTTATGTCAAATGAATGAATTGAACTAAAACAGCTGAAGAGAATCTAAGTGCCACGTGTTTAAATGTCGCTGACCTTTGACCTGTCTCACGGAGCTCAGGTTCTTCTCAAAGCCGTCGTCGAACTTGGGCTCGGTGACGGGCTCGAAGTCGCTGGTGTAGACGCGCCCGGGGGAGGTGGTGTAGCAGCACCTGCACATGCAGGTGTGGTAGCGCAGGCGGCCCTCGTCCAGGTACGGGTGGGCCAGCGCGTCCTTCGCCGAGATCCGCTTGGCCTGCGGGTCCAGACACGGGACGCCGATCACAACAAATGTACGTGAATATACAAAGATAAAACCACAGCTGATTATGATGGACGCCGTTAGAAACGAGAAGAAGTAGGAAGAGAACTGATGCCACAGGAAGTGTGGGTGGAGCTCCGCCCACTTCTTCAGGTACAAAATAAACACGCAACTATAATAACCCTAATAACCACATGCAGGGGGACATTTCAGTGTCATGTGCTTTTTCAGTTTCGTTAATAAATGTCCAATAAAACCAAAACAAAGACATTATATTGTGCCGGATATTACGGTTTTCTTACTCAATATTATTTGTTATTTTATTTTGCATTATTCTCTTGTGTTAGTATCACATTTTGTTATTTCAACTCCCATATTTAATGTATGTAGTTTTTGTTATAGTTAAACTGCTTCCTCTATTCTATTGTGCACACTATTATTTAATGGAATCTAACGTCTATGTTTCGTTGCTCGTCTTTAATAAAGTGCGACTGGACGTGGTGAATGAAAGTCGTATCTATAATTATCCTGCGGTGACTCATTGATCGCGAGGATGACTCACCGGGTCGAACACCAGCATCCTGCAGAGGAGGTGCACCGCCTCGTGGGTCGCTTGGCCAGACAGCGAGTACAGAACAGGAAGCGACGGCTGCGGACGAGAAACAAGCGTCACAGCGCGACCCCTTCAGCTCCCGGCAGCGCGTCACATGGCGCGTCACATGGCGCAGCAGGAGGAGGGGAGGAGCCCCCCAGCGTCCCAGCTGGTGCAATGAGAAACCTGATACGCTGGCAGCGTTCACTCTGCCGACCTGTTTGTGAGGTCCTCTGAGGATGTGCGTACGGGCGCCTTCGCACGCCGTCCTCATGGCCTCCAAGGAGGGCGTCCCCAGCAGGTCAGTGATGAGATCCAGCTGCGTGCAACACGGCGACAAAGACACACACACACACACATCAGAGACGGACAGCGACCACCGGCCCGCGGACCATCTGCATGGCAGAACAGGAAGACGGCTTGGAACGCCGTTACAACGCCGGAGCCTTCTTTGTAACCAGGCAGGTAACGGCTGAATCACCGTCGTGGCCGACTGAGTTAGTCGGACCGTTTTCAGGATGAGGTGACGTAGATCAGGCTTTTGTTTGTCTAAATCACCATAGCAACACATCCAAAAACCTGCACCTGCTCCAGCGCAGGCTAACTTAAGCTAGCTGGATTAGCTCGCCACTGCCTGAACAAAAGGGGCAGCTTTCTTCCTCATCGACGAAGGAGTGATATCGACATCAGTTAGATTCACGTTTTATGGAGTTCTCCGAGATCAGAGATCCGCTATGACATCACTTCCTGTTCGACCACCATCGATGCTGCCGACAAGAAATCATTTATTTACAAGAAGACCTTCTGCAGCCGAAGCGTTTCGTGGTGAAGACCACCCGCTGCATAAAGGCTGGACTACAGCGCGCGCGCTCACCTAGAATATTGTGCTGTTAGTGGTACTTAAAAAAAAATAATAACTTAACAACCGATTTTTAAATGTTTGCTTTGTTAGAAACGTCAGAGATGTAGTTATGACACTGCACACTTATGAATAATAATGTTCTGTTTAATGTCATTTTTATATGAAAACCAAGGTTAGAATTATTCATAAGAACGTCATAAATACATCTCTGCACAGTGGGGATTTCAACATGCAGCATTTATGGATGTATATTTGTAAATCGAAATCTTGTACCTATTTTAGAACACTATTCTATTGTGTACATTACATTATTCACAGTACATACGCATAACTACATCACTACCAACACAACGTTATGGTTGAGCGAGCGCACTAATATATATATATATATATATATATGACATTCTGAGTGACCGCACCTCGTTTGGACCAGATCCATGGTTTTCTAATTAGTCCCTTATTATGTCAAATGTCACACATGCGGGGGGGCCGCTGCCCCAGGAGCAGGTCCTGGGACCTGGTTACCTGCTGGATGGGACTCTGGGCCTGGAAGAGGATGCGTCTCCCCAGCAGCTCAGCGAAGATGCAGCCCACGGACCAGATGTCGATGGAGTTGGAGTAGTGGCGGCTCCCCATGAGGATCTCTGGAGCCCGGTAGTACTGGGTCACCACTTCCTGGGTCATGTGGCGCGACTCGTCCGACTCCTCCACCCGAGCCAGGCCGAAGTCACAGATCTGCAGCACATGCAGAGGTTCAGTGGCAGTTTACCAACGTGTGCGTTGTGTTTGTGGGAGGGGCTTTCCCGGCCTACATCTCCCTACAGTGGCACATGTCAGCCCGTCTGTCTCGGCTTGCGGTGACTAAATCTGTTAGCGGTGTAAATATGTGTTTACAGAAATACGGGACTATAAGCCCCCGTCACCGGACCACCAGCTGGTCGTCTGACGCACCTTGAGCACACAGTTGCTGTTGACCAGCAGGTTTCCAGGCTTGATATCGCGATGTAGAATTCCAGCAGAATGAAGGTATTTCAGTCCTGGGGGGGGGGGGGGTATTATATTACCATAAAAAAATCCGGGGGGTCCCGAATATTTGGTTTTGCAAGATACCACCCCCACAACTAGGGGCCCGGGGGGGGCGAGGGGCAACGGAACGCCCCACCCCCGAGAAACCGGGAGAGGAAAACCTTGGCGTGGTCCGAGCTCAGGGGCTGAGGAGACACGATGATCTTATGGAGGTCACTCTGCATCAGCTCAGTCACCACGTAGCTGGGGGGGCGGAGTTAAGGGGGGGGGGGGGCTCTCTGTCACCTCCTCTACGTCACTACTGGTTATTTCCAAGTCAACAGAGCTGAAAGGATTCAGTATTACAAACGTCTCCGCTGACGTTTAAATCCACTTTACGTCCTGTACAACTCATATAGTCAGATATGCTCACTAGGCTGCGTGCGCGCACACACACACACAGACACACACACACACACGCACACGCACACGCACACACACACACACACACACACGTTCTGTTGTCCAACAGGACGCCGTCTGTCCACAGAGAGGAAGTCCTCCACCCACCAACAGTAAAAGATACATCTCTTCAAAGTAGTCGATGTGAGGAGGTTGGAGGATGTCCAGAGCGGAGAGGACCTAAGGACACGATAAAGACGAGGTCTTTACAGGTAGATACCAGGAGACAGACAGACTCAGAAGGACAGAGTCCTCACATTCTCATGTTTGAAGAAGGACAGCATCTTGAGCTCCCTGAAGACCCTCTTGCAGGAAACGAGGTTCTGGAAGACGTTGGGCATCTTTTTGAGGGCGACCCTCTTCCCGTCTCGGGGGTCCGTCACGGACCTGTTGGTGCAGAGGACAAACACAGAGGTTCAGATGAGAGACCCCGTGTGTATACGTAGTATCGCTCCCCGTGTGAACCCCCTGACAGAGGAACGGCCTTCTGATCGACTTCTTTACGCCTTTGTCTGCTCATCTGCAGCATAAACAACGATCAGATGAATCACATGTTACCACTTGCATTAGAAAGTAAAGGATGTGGCTTTTTATTCCTATGAGACTAATGGATTATGTTTAGCATGCTAACAAACGGAGCGCATTCAGCTGCAGGGAAACATACGCGTTAAATAAAGTCACAGTCGATAGGTCATCACAGCTGGAGTGTGTTTGAGCAGAGACTTGATAGTGATGATAAATGGTTTTATTACACCTGATATTTATATTGAACCAAAATGAGGGCAAAGCGGTGCCCAGATGTGCCCATCGTTCAGTGATACGGGTTCAGGGGCTCCACACAGCTGGGGCTGGTGCGTGTGTGGGGCGCATGCACCTACCAGACGACCCCGAACGCCCCGTACCCGATGGGCCGGTCGGGCTCCATGTCCAGCTGCGGCTGCAGGTGGTGCCGGTTGTGGTGCGCTTTGACCGCAGCGGCTTGGACCTGGCCCGGGACCTGGCCCGGGGCCGCTGCCGCCGCCGCCGGCCCGGGGGCTTGCCCAGGGGCGGGGGACGGGAAGTAGGCCTGCTGCTGGACCGAGTGCAGGGCGGCGGCGGCGGAGCCAGGGTGCTGCAGGTGATGCTGGCCCACTTGGTGGTTGTTGTTGTTATTGTGGTGGTGGTGGTGGTGGTGGTGCGGTTGCATGTGGGGGGGCGGGAGGTGCGGGAGCTGGTGGTGATGCTGGTGGTGGGCGGCCACCGTCGAGGAGCCGCTGTTGTAAGCGGCCATCATTTTCGTAACATGTGTAGCCGTGGCGCCGCCAAGAGCCATTCACTGATGACGAACTCAAAGGTTAAAATGATACGCAACACCTGCAGCTTTATGTCCTCATCATAATGCAAACCATCTGACCCCCCTCTAAGTCAAAGTCCTCCTGGTGGAGAACATGGCCCGCGGCGAGGAGTCTAAAACAATCCAACCAAACTCCACCTGAACAAGAAAACTGTTGATAAATACGAATTAAAGAAACTCCAAGTTGTCCCCCACCTCCACCCCTCCTCCCCCGCTCCAGGTGAGACGCAGCCTCGCGGATGTAAGCGGCTCTAAATTCGCCCCACGGGTCCAGGTGAAGGTGATGCTCCCACCATCGGGGCTCCTCCTCCCGCTGCAGGTGGCGCAGGTGGTGCAGGCCGGGTAATCTCCGAGCCGTGATTAACGCGGCTGATCCGGTGGAGCACCGGAGCGGTGGTCCAAGCCCCAGCGGTCGGGCACAGGCCGCATCCGCTCCTCACATAGCGTGACGACAAACTGGCGAAGCTCCGGCCATGATTCAACAAACAAAAACAACAACAACAAACGGGAACTACTTAACGTGGCTTGCGCGCATTGGCAGCCGGGTGTTCAGCGGGCTCCGCTGCCACACTGCCGCCGCTCAGCAGCGCACGTCCGCGGCGGGTGAACCGCACGTAAACGCGCGCACACGATCAACGAGGTAATCCCTCCGCTCCCGGTGACGAGCCAGCGGGCGGCTTCGACCTGTCAGTTAGCGGCTAACGCTAGCTGCTCGGCGCGCGCCTCCCCAGATCCCTCCGCCGCCGCCGCCGGAAGAGAAGAGGAAGCCGCCGGAGTCTCTGGCTTCGGCTCGGCTTCCTCCGACGTTATTCAAAGCAACAACTATGTTTAGTCAAGCTGTGACGGGCGGACGATCCAACATGGTGAACCCACCTCCTCCCAGCGGCACCGCGGCGGTTATATTAAGCAGCGTCGCTCAACCAATCAGCGACCGCGCCACGAATGACGTAACGGTAATCTCCGCGATTCCAACCCCGTAAACGAGTGCCATCCGCGCATGCGCACTGGGGGTGAAACGGCTGCTGCGCATCACGAGCGGTATGAACACAGACGCGTTTAGAGAAGCCCAAAAACTATTTTTGTGTTTTATTTTATAAAATACATTTTATTTCCGTTTTCCTATCGTATCCTATTCCCTCCTGTCATGAATGGACGTTTCTATTCTGTTTCTTATTGACAGTTTCTGTGTATCTGCTCCTGTATGTAACTGTTAGAACAGTAGACAGTGAAAGGAAAGTAATATCAACACAGAGAAAGTAAACAAAAGAGCAAACAAACTGCTCACTTCATTTTTTCAAGTCTGTAACTACTTGGCATGTTCTGATGAAAAACTGTTGGTGTGGCAGGAGGTCTTAGTCCTGATGGACCTCAGCCTCCTGCCAGATGGAAGGGGCACAAACAGGTTTTGTCCGGGGTGAGAGGGGTCGGCTATCATTTTAGCTGCTTCAGGGTCCTGGAAGCGAACAAGTCCTGCAGGGACGGCAGATTGCAGCCGATCAGCCTCTCTGCAGAGCGGAGGACACGCTGCAGCCTGCCCTTGTCCTTGGCTGTGGCTGCAGCGTACCAGGCGGTGATGGAGGAGCAGAGGATGGACTCCATGATGGCCGTGTAGAAGTGGACCATCGTCGTCTTTGGCAGCTTGGATTTCTTCAGCTGCCTCAGGAAGAACAACCTCTGCTGAGCCTTCTTGGTGATGGAGCTGATGTTCAGCTCCCACTTGAGGTCCTGGGTCATGATGGAGCCCAGGAAACGAGTGGTGACGGGGGAGTCACACGGGGTGATGGGGGAGGGTGGGGCTCTGTTCCTCCTGAAATCCACAACCATCTCCACTGTCTTTAGAGCGTTGAGCTCCCCACCAGAGATCAGTCCAGTGAGGGTGGTGTCATCCGCAAACTTCAGGAGCTTGACGGACTGGTGACTGGAGGTGCAGGAATCAGGAAACATTTATTAGCCAAAATATGCTAAACATACAAGGAATTTGTCTTGGCGGTTAGTGCGCGACAGTAGACAGACAAGACAACAGTGCACAAGTAATAAAATAAAGGAAATTGAAATGCTAATGCAATGGGTTAGTAGAATGGCTGTTGTACATACTACATATTTAACATACACGTTACGTACACGTGTGTAAACAAAAGAAAGTGCATGTTTTTTTTTAGGAAAATCAACTCCCCGAATCAAATCAATACGTTAACCGATTCCTCATTAATTCGTTTTCTTCCTCCGCTCTCGTTCACGAAGGCAGGGGGGGGGGCGGGGTTAAACGAAACACCAGTGCGCATGCGCGATGGAACCTGCGGGCTCGTACAAGTCGCGGCTGCATCCGGGTACTTCCCTCGGAAGCCTCCACGGTTACGTCACTGATCCAGTGGGTTACGGAGAGGAGCGAAGGACGCGGAGGAACAATAACGTAAAGTATTAAATGTGACGACGACAGCGAGCAGCGGGGGGACAAGCGAGACAAGACACGCGGGAGCGCGCACTGCCTTCGTGTTCCGTGTCTAGCAGCACTGCTAACGTCAGCTAACGTCAGCTAACGTCCGTCACCCCGAGCTGACATTTAACGCAGCGGAGTGAAGCTTCCTTCTCTTCTCACGGGACGTTTACAGCCGCTTTAATGGAGCAAAAATAAACCACGTGTTGCGCCTTTTAATCTGCATTATGAACTGTCTCTGTCCTCCTGGTGATCAACGTCACACCGTAAGATAAATGACAGTGTTTGTGTTCTTTAAAGTTAACACGTTTGGAGGCTGTAAAGTCATGAGGATTTGAAGAGGAACAAAATGATATTAATGCTTGTTTCTGTTATTGGAGCCGTTTGAAATGTAAAACTATAAATGTAAAATGAATGTGTGTGGCAGTTGCTGACTGTGGTCTCTGAACAGGAAGTGGACTCGGGTGGTGGTGGTGGTGTCTCTGGTCTGACCCCTCTCAGTCCTGGTCCTCCATGGCGCTGCTGGTGGTCAGCGTCTGGAGAAGTGGCCTCTAACGCTCTCACCTCGGTGCTGAACCCTTTCACAGAAGCATGATCTCTCTGCACAGGTGAGCGCTCTGCATGTTCCTGTACCTTCCTGGTGAGGAGCCAGCAGGATGTTTATGTGTCAACTTAACCTTCAAACCAGTTATTGTCACAGTACAAAATCTCTTCGACGGTTCTTTTTATTCATATTTCATTTGTGACGTGTGTTGCTTTACTGATGGCATTGGGCTACAGGTCGGAGGTTGAAGTAACACCAACATGGATGTTCTATTCCTTAACTTAACCAAAGAGTTGTTTCACCCTAAACATCACAAAGTTGTGTCCTGTGAAGACGGAAGTTTATTTTTTTTTAAATGACTCGTATCATGTATTACCATTGAATGGCCGCGCTGTGAATGCGTTTGGATCCTCACTGTACCTGCTGCAACCTGCCAGCGGCTGATTACCAGCAGCAGGTGTAGGTTTGAATGAGCCGCGTCCCCCGGAGCTCAGATCCTCGCCTTTCCAGTTTGCTTCTGTAATATTACCGACCTGCATGTCGTGTCATGTTTGTTTTGCAGACCGCTGAGTCAGCTGCTCGGAGCATGCCGGAGGAGGAAGAGGAGGGTGGAGGTTTCTCTGGAAACGGCTACGGGGTTTCACTGCAGGACCTTCTGCTCCACCTCGTCAGAGACAGGTGCACACGCCAGCTTGACGCTTTGTTAATGTTTGACAAATTACTTCTCAACGAGCACGTGGCCTCTGCAGTCACCCACAGCTGCACCATTCATCACTGCGAGGGATTTGAAACCCGTCTTTGTTGTCAGATTTTCATCTTTTCAAAAGTCCTTGAAGACGTAATGTTTTATGATCGCTTCCGTCAGAAAAAGCAGCAACAATTAAGCTTAAAACGGGGATATTTCATCACATAGTTTTACTCTGATTTACCTTCTTGTGTGGGAAACATGAAAAGTGTCTGTGACGTCTCCTAATCCATCTCTCTATCCATGATCTTATGAATGCGTCACCTATAAGCTCTGTAAATACATTGTTAGGCTCCGCCTCCAACCTGTTGACTTCTTTCTATTGTTATAAAAGATTAAAATGATTGGTAATAATATATTATTAGTCTAAAGCAACTAGTGTTGTGTTGGGTGTGACTGGACTACAAGTTAAATACATAGTCAAGAAATACAAAACACATTAAATATGTGTAATATTTAATATATACATCAATATAGAACATGCAAAAATGTATTTAATATAATATCTATTATATTTAATTCAGCACTACTACAAAGTCTTAAAAATGTCCCCCTGCTTCGTTGTCTCTTGTTGTAGAACCCCTGGAGATCCACAAGAAGAAGGTCTTGCTGTGGTTCAGCCACCGTCCTCAAGAGGAGAAGCAGTTCGGAGGTCACTTCAGCCCAGAGACCATGGACGTGGATCCTCTCATCCTGGAAAGAAGAGCTGAGGAGAGGGCAGGACCACTCAGTTCTCCTCTCCAGACCGTCTCCAGCCCCTCTGTGACTGTGGAACAGCTGTTTGAGCCCACCGATGCCTGGAGTGACGGCCGGGGGCTCAACGTGCTGCTGTACGGTGCCGTGGGGACGGGGAAGAGCACGTTGGTACGCAAGGTGGTGGGGGACTGGTGCATCGGCAAAACCCTGAACCAATTCAAGTTGCTGGTTCCGTTCTCTTGTGAGGACCTTGGCTCACAGTCAAAGTAAGATGGTCTGCTATAATTCACTGGCCTTCTGTCACGTAACTTGATATTTTGAGGTCCTACAAACATCCCTATGAACCAGACGTACCTTTCTACCTGTGCACTGTACCTCCCCACCGACTAACCCACACAGAACCCTATCGACCCTACGACCTACAGACCGACTGCACCCATTTACCTGCCAACTGACCTGCTACAACCACCTGCCCAACCTGCGGACCGGTCTGACCGGACTAATCGACCCACCCAACTAACCTCCCGTACCCACAGAGTGCTGCTGCTGGAACACTTGGCTGCTGTTAAAGGGCACAGAGAGTGATGCGTCCTTCCTCCACAGAGTGGCCTCCTTGAGGGACCTGGTGAGCAGGAAGTACCTCCACCTCCGACAGCACCCGCTGCTGAGTGGGACGGGAACCCAGGCCAAGGATGTGCTATTCGTCTTCAACGGGATGGAGAAGATGAATTTGGATTTCCGAATTGGAGCCAGTGAGCTTTGCAGTGACCCCAATGAGCCGCTGCCGGCGGATGTGCTCATGGTTAACCTGTTGAGGAAGTACCTGCTCCCTGAGGTGAGGGACAGGTTACCGTCAACATATTATCATGTTTGTATAATAAAGACGTGAAACTTGTATATCAATGCGAGCGCTGCCGTATGTTTCCCAGGCCAGCATCTTGGTGACCACCAGACAGTCCGCCCTGGACAGCATCCCCCAGAAGTACGTGAGTCGCTACGCACAGATCAGCGGCTTCACTGACCCCGAGCGCCAGCGGGCCTACTTCAGCAGCCGCCTGCTGCAGGGGAGCGCGGCCCGAAGCCCCGGGTCGCACTGCCTCGTCGAACTGCTGTACCTCAACCTGCAGCGGGAAAGCCAGCTGGGCGCCGCCTGCTTCCTGCCCTCGTACTGCTGGCTCACGTGTGCCACCTTACATCTCCTCCACTTCACCGACACCGAGGCGCCGGTCCGCACCCTGACCGGACTCTACACTAGTTTCCTCCGGCTCAACTTCGGCGGCGAGGTGCTCGGCACGGGAGCGGGAACCAACGTTCCCATTCAGGAGCGCAACGCCTCTCTGATGTTGTACGTGGTCCGTACAGTCGGCAAACTCGCCTTCGACGGCGTGACAAACAGGCGCACGGCGTTCTCCGAAAAGGAACTGGAGCAGTGGATCGGAGGCGAGACCAAGACAAACGAGGAGCTACGTCAGCTGGCAATGTTCCGGACGGACGTGCTCGACTTCTTCTTGGCTCCCGTTGTCGAAAGCGACGTGTATTTAGCAGAAGAAGCCGTTGGGAAGGGCAAGCGGCGGTACGTGTTTGCTGTCCCGGCCATGCAGGAGTACCTGGCCGCCCTCTACGTGGTTCTCGGAGAGAACAAATCGGCTCTGGAGAAGCTGACCAGTCAGGTGTCAGCGGCCATCGGTCAGGCAAGCGAGGATGTCAATAAAGTCTTCGACGTCATCTCCATTTTCATCCCGCGCCGAGTGTTTGCCGTATTCAACATCCTGAAGCTTTTTCCAAAGCTGTACGAGAAAATCAGCAGTCACAACAAAGGCAGCATCGCCAAAACGATGGCGTCCGAACTGTTCCGCACCGAGGACAGCTACAACGAGGACGTCCTGGACCAGGTGGAGCAGAGCCTCCTGGGGGTCCACGGCCCGCGCCCGAAGCAGCGCAGTGAGGACCAGCCTTTTGAGCTCTACCCCATATTCATGGGCGGACTGTTGCATTATGGGAACCGTGTCCTTCTCCAGCAACTTGGGTGCAGCATTCAGAGCAACACCGTGGCCCAGATCACACAGGCCCTCCGCAAGTACCTGGTCAGAGGTAACGCCAATATGTTCCTCTCAGTCCTGCTGGTACTGTGGGCTCTGATTTCATGTTTGAAGAACTTTGAACACACCGTGGTTCCAAAGGTTCCAAACAACCATTTTATTTGAGACCAGTCTCAATTTAGTCCTGATTCTCTGTGTCAGGCGTATTCAACTAAAATGTGAAGAGGTCCAGTTTATTTCCAAAATTTCTAGAAGCAAAAGTCGGGAAGATCATGATGTGACTACTAGTGTTATTTAAATTGGGTTGTATCATCATCTGCATTAAATCAATACACGACTAACAAATCAAATGAATTCAGTACCATTCAAAAACTCTTTGCCAATATTTATTGTCACAAAGAACAGTTATATATATATATATATATATATATATTAATCCCTCCCACGCTGCAGCTCCTCCTGAACGCTCAATGAGTCTGCTCCTCTTTTCTCTTATTTAATTCTAGAAATCAACAAGCCACAGCCTCCTGAGGAGCTGATGGACCTACTGGTCCTTCTCTATGAGTTTCAGAACCCCAGAGTGACTGCAGAGGTTCTGGCCTCGATCAGGGCAATCAAGCTCCCCAACATCCGCATGACGCCACTCAAGTGCTTCGTCCTGAGCTCTGTGCTCGCCTGCACGCCTGCAAGGTAAAGTCTGGATTGCGGTTTGGCGGGTAAATGTTCAGCCACCCGGTCTGACTGGTGCGCGTTTCTTCTGGTAGTTATCACCTGGAGGAGATGGACCTGTCCTCCTGCCTCCTGGATCTCAACATGCTTGAGATGCTGCGTCCGGCCTTCAGACACACGCACAGACTCAAGTGAGACCAAATCAATAACTGCTCTCTTCTGGTTTGCAGTGAGTAACAAAGGAAACCCGTGTTTTTAGAGGATGAAAGGATGTTATGCGTCTGAGTTAACCATTTTTGGTCGAAGCAAACCAAGAAAATGCACCAAACGGGACATTTTGCACAGCAAAAATCCACTAATGTTCTGTGCATCATGAAAACGCTGTGCAGAAATGATCCCAGAATCTTTACACAATAGTATTAGTAGGCAACATAACTAAGGGCTGGTCCAAGGCCAGCCTGAGCCAGCCCTTAGTTTAACAAAGCCCACCTCTATGAACTTGTAGTTTTGAGTTTTTGTTGAGCCGGTTGGTGATGATGTTCATTATAGAGGACGGTTTGTGCGAGTCCAAAGCAGGACCATCTGCTGGCTCCCTTGTTAGCGATGTTCTGAAATGCATTTTTCTAGACATTGGATGATCCCCGTGCTCGTCTGGCATGTGTTTGTTGTGTGTGTCTGTGCGTCTGCCCGTCCCTGTTGTCCTCAGTCTGCAGTCTAACAGCTTTGGTCCTGAGTCCTGTGTCATCCTGAGAGATCTGCTGCTCGACCCTGTGAGCTCCATCACATCTCTGCAGTAAGAACCTTACGTTTTACCTCAACCTCTGCGTGCCTCTTTCAGGGGTGTGTTCTTTATACTTATTATAGGACTTTCTTCACAAGCCACACGCTTTCAGCCAGCAAAAGGCTTTTATTTTGAAGCAGCAGAAGGAAATGCAGTGAAGTTTTATTTAATTTACCGTGATCTTGACTCACAACTGAGAATCCGTAACGCTGCGGCTCAATAAACTAGAAGTCCCGTAATAACGAGCCTGTGTTGATTGGAGTTGTTCCTGCATGAGGCCTGATCAGTGCCGCCGAGTGGACTCTGTCGGTCTCCACTTTGTTCTGATAGAAGACCCCCCCCCCCCCTCACTATTCCACTGTGCGTCGCAGACTGTGTGACAACCCCCTGCTGGAGTCCGGGGCCTGCGCCCTGCTGGAGGCTTTGCCGGAGAACCAGTCCCTGACCCACCTGTCCCTGATGCACACGGGCCTGGGGGACCGGGCGGCCCTGGAGCTGGCCCAGAGGCTGCAGCAGCACGCGGCGCTCCTGGAGCTCAACGTGGCCTACAACAACATCGGGGACAACGCCGCTCTGGCTTTAGTGGACGCCTGCAGGGAGCACCCCAGCATCCACACCGTGCAGTAAGCCGCTCTGCACGCAGCACCGCGGCTACGAGCCGGTGGACGCAACCAAACACCACTCGGCCTTTGTAGACACGTGCTGATTACCGCCTCTTCTGCTTCATCCTCATCCCAGAACGTTTCATGTATATAAAAGCTTGTGTCTGGGCTCCTCCGTCCGTGGAAGCAGGGTGTGATTAGTCCCTTTGCTGGTGTCTTTGTGCAGCTTGTATCTGAACCCTCTCAGCGATGTGGGGAAACAGTCCCTCTACGTCCGAGGAGTTCCCAAGAGCCAGGGGGGGCGGCGGGTCAAGGTGCTGGCCTCCGTCACCGAGGGCACCGACATCTCTGAGGACTGGCACCCCATCCTCAGTGTGATACGGAAGAACGCCTCGTCCTGGGACCGCCAGCGCGTCAAGGAGCAGCTGAAGGTAAACGCGGCGATGCTGCTCAATGACGAGTCTCCTGCGCCTCTTCAAAATAAAAGTCCTGCTCCTCTGTGGACATGCGATGTCTTTAGTGGAATCTCATGACTGAACATCCCATCGATTTGATGGCTCCCTGCAGGTGTTCCTCAGGGACCTGGACTGGGGCCGGCAGCAGCAGCAGAACTTCTGGAAGCGGCTGCACTTCAGACGAGTGGAGAAAGGCGTCCGCAAGACGCTGCAGCAGCTGGAGAAAGAAGCTCCGCCTCCATGATGACCAGCATGCACCGGGGGAGATGACGTCATTCAACAGCATTACATTACAGGTCATTCAGCTGACGCTTTTATCCAAAAGCGACTTGCATTGCATCTTCAACCCGCGGCTGTTGGGGGTCCGGTGTCTTGCTCAGGGACACTTTGACGTGGGACATGAAGCAGCCGGGACTCGAACCGCCGGCTCAGCCTCTTCTCCGCGTGCCGCTGTCGACATTTCAGAATCCGACTTTTTTTGCCTCGTATGTGACACACACAGGAATAATTTAATAATAAGACAATAATAAGAAAATAATTTAAATGCAATAAATAAACAAGCAAAAGAGACAAACATTCTAAGTAAGTTGAAACAGATTCTATGCTTGACTGATGTTCCGCTGCTTCTTGATTTATGACTTTCTGTACTTCCAGAACCTCGACAAGGAGCTCTTCAGGGTCCCAACCAATGTGCATTTATATGAATAATATATGACTGTCAAAAGTCCCTTTTATGAACATAGTATTTAGCAGAGTTTCATGTTGTGTCACGTGACAAAGAAACAAAGGGATATTTAAAGCCGGTAATGCAATAACTAAACGTGCCTCTGAAATATCACAATAATATTCCACATGGTGGGTTTATTAATAATAAAGCTGTAAACTCCTTCAACTTATTGATCACTAAATGAAATGTGTGACACCGCTGGGAATTGTGGGTAGTTTAACTGGGGAAAGCTTGGTTCCTCCTTTGATGTCTTCCAGATGTTTGGCTGATGTTTTGTTTTCCAGGCTCATGCAGCCAAAATATACGAAAATAAGTTTTTTTTTTTTTTCTTGGATTCATTCTTAAGGAATCCGGTTGAATAAATAACTGTGATCCGTCTGCTCATCACCTTGTTTTCTGGTAACGGACGAAATGTTCCCATCAGACGAACATTAGTGATGAATCCCATCGTGCTGCGTTTGCGTTTAGTGGAACACGTCTAAATGAGATGTGCCGTTAACCTGCACACAACGTTCTCCTTTCATTCTCACAGACTTTCACTGCATGTTGGTGTTGACTGATCGGTATGTGAATAAACAAAGTGATTACAAATATTAGATGTGATGTGATTAACTCAGTCCAACCTGGAGGGGGCGCTTGATATCAACAGCAGGAATCAGCGTTTTATATAAAAGTTAAAGATGGACCATCTGGTCTGTAGTGCTGATCTATGAGTACGTATCTTTACACACGTGTACACAGACATGTGTATGTACATACATTCTCCTAGTCCGTTCCACGCAGCACCAGCACCAGGAGGACTGGGGGGGCGTGGCCACGGCTCTCAGGTGGTTAGAGGGGGGGGGGGGGGGTATAACTCAAAGCTTCACACCATTTATTTATACATATATAACTCTGAAATACACATTTATACAGTGCTAACCACAACACACACACACACATAGCAGGTCTGTGTGTGTGTGTGTGTCCTCCCCGTGTCCCCGGGTTCACTCTCCCTCCCCCCCTCCTCCTCCGGCATGCAGGGGCAGTTAATTAGTGACTCCAGACGCGTCCGTAGGTGTGTGCGAGTGGACGGTTGCGTGTCTGTGTGTCGGCCCTGTGGCTGACTGGAGATCAGTCCTTCGTGGCCCCCCCAGGCCCCCCCAGGCCCCCGGGAGCCTCTGAGGACGGCAGCAGAGGAGATGACGGACAGACTGGTGTGTAGCTGTGTGTACGCACATCGATGTGTACGCACGCAGTTTGTCAAGCTGCCGCCGCGTTGTGTCTCCTCGACAGCAGGTGAATGTTTAACCTGAGGGGAGAGAAGGAGTCTCACCTGGAGGCGTCTCTTTATGGTCCGTGTGAGGTGGACCTTGTTCTTCAGTCCTCCGTCTCATTGACTCACTCCACGAGGACGAGCACAGGTAGGCTGTCCCTCTGTCTCTGTCTCTCTGTCTGTCTCTCAGACTGGACCGGTGTATTTTGACACTTTCAGGGACCACCTGCCTGTTTTTGTCCGTCCTGTTTAAACATTTTCCTCCTCCAGATGTTTTTGTGGAGCTTTTACATTAATTTTCATGTTCATTGTTCAGTTGTTGTCCGTCAGTCGTTTCCTCTTCAGTTGTCTTTATTTCACAGGTTGAGACGCTTCATGTTCAATGTTTTATTCAGCTTTTATCCAAAGCGACTCACAATGAAGAACAACTAGTCCAGATGTAGAAGGTCCAGAGGTCTTATTAGTTTGTGTCAGAGGCTGTAAAGGCTCAGAAAAAATAGATTTTATTTTATATTTAATTCAACACAACTATGCAACTTGATAAATATAAGAATACAATATTATTCAGTTATAGTAAAAACCGTCAGAAATATAGTTTAACAATAGATTAAATACGGGGATGAAATAATGTAAGAAAATAAAATATTAATCACATTGTTCAATATAAACACTGTTATCGCCTGAAGCCCCCCAGAGACCCCGTGTGCAGGACAAGCGGTTTGCAGACGGATGGAGGGAATATAAATACAGTAAAATGTGAATAAAATAATGTAAAATAACAAATAACCAAACATAATATAATTGTTTGATTCCAACATGATGAAATGTGAAAATAAATAATGACAGAAAATAAAACAGAATAAAAGTGTTCAGTTTAAATATAATAAAACATGTGAATTGAATGTAATACAACAAAAGGTCAAATGTAATCTGTAACAATGTCTTCATCTTAATCCTAATCCAAGGCCTCACAAAGGTTTATTCACAAAGGTCACAGGGCCGAGGGGTCGAACCGGTCCTGCAGCCATGAAACAGTTTTATTTCCAATAACCAAGATGAGTAAAAATGAAAATATAATTACTAAAAGAAGTTAAAATAAGGAAGTTCTAAGTACAAACAGCAAAGTGAATTCTCTTCTGATCTGAGACCCCCCCCCTACCTGCACCATTAGATGTGTTGCGCTGGCCGGTCCAGAGCTGATTGAGGGGAGAGAAGACGTTGCTCCTCTGTGGGGACGCCGTAGCTGCTCCTGAAAACACCCCTCTGGCTGTTGTAGAATGGAACGGTCCAATAATCTGGGCTAATCCCCTCAGAAAGGCGCGATGGCCAGAAGGATGGTCGGCTTCAGAACCCTGACAGCAAAGTTTGATTCACGTGGACTCAGCCGAGAAGTAAAGTCTGACATTGTGATGTAAACGGCTGAGGAGCCTCAGGGGCCCCGACCAGACGCTCATCCATCAGGAGGGTTCGACACGAGTGAAGCGTCCCAGAGCTCACCTGACAAATGAAGCCACGGGGCGTTTTGTTTCTGTCCTCTGAACGTCTTCTCTCCCACAGGCTGCCAGGATGCGATGGAACATCCACGGTGAGAGAAATGTTTCACTATGTTGAGCACAGTGGTGAGATGTTTGGGCGTTTTTATGGAACGGCTGCACGGCGAGGAGCCGATAACAGCTGGACTGTGAGCTCTTTATCTGCTGGAAACTTCCAAGTGTCCACATTCACCAGTACTGTTTAATCACAATGTTAATGTTGTTGCATGTTGATCAAATGTCTGATATGCAGTGTTGATGTTCAGGACCAATGAATGAAGCTCTGAAGCTCTCTCATCAATCATCACAATAGTCACACGTGGATTAAACGGTGACACATCGCTAGAAAACTTTTCATTTTCTTCTTTCAGTTTTACCTTCAACCCAAAAGAAGGGATTGATAATCCAGCTCTGGTCATCGCCGATGATCCTGGTGGGTTTGAGCCTTTTACCTGAAACCCAAAACCATTGTGGACCTTCTCTGACGTCCCTGATGGCCCCTGTGTGCAGAGCCTCAGAGCCCCCGGCCCACCCTGTGCCACCTGAGGCGCCTGGAGGGCCAGAGCTTCGGGTTCCTCCTGCGGGCCCACCGCGGCGGCCAGAGGTGTGAGGTCGGCGGCGTGGCGGCGTGGAGCCCCGCGGGGCGCGGCGGGCTCCGGGACGGGGACCGCGTGCTGGAGGTCAACGAGGAGCGGGCGCACAGCGAGGACTTCTGCAGGGTCGGTGTCCTGCTGTTTGTCCTGTGGCTCATTCAGCGAACCGCAAACTCATTTTGTATCTAGACAACAGGCCTTCACGTCGACGTGGGACGCCATTGTTGCTACGGCAACCCAGAATGGACAAACGCTATCGGGGTGTTTTTGCGTTTAGAAATGACCTGAGCGTAGTTTGACAGACGGTCAGATTGACATACGGGGTTTGGAATGACACCGTTGATTCAGCGTATTGTTGGTTTCTCGTCGATGTCCTGACAGATTGTGAGGAAGATCCAGTCGTGTGGGCTACACCTGGTCCTGCTGGTGCTGAGACGGGACGAGTATGAGCAGGTACTGTGTGAGGATTAACTTCATAATCTTCTCTCAGCCCACATGGTCAGGACATATGTCCACGGAGACATCTGTCCACAAGACAACAGGACCTACCACATCCTGTAAAAAACTTTGTTTATTTTGACATTAAAGTTGACGTAGAGGCGCCGTGTGCTTAATCACTTAACACTCAATCAGCGTGTAGCTCCGCCCTAAAGCATCCCTGCTGCTCTATGGTCTATTAGAGACCTGTCAATCAGCATGTAGCTCCGCCCTAAAGCATCCCTGCTGCTCTATGGTCTATTAGAGACCTGTCAATCAGCGTGTAGCTCCGCCCTAAAGCATCCCTGCTGCTCTATGGTCTATTAGAGACCTGTCAATCAGCGTGTAGCTCCGCCCTAAAGCATCCCTGCTGCTCTATGGTCTATTAGAGACCTGTCAATCAGCGTGTAGCTCCGCCCTAAAGCATCCCTGCTGCTTCATGGTCTGTTTGACTCTACATGGACCATCATTTACTAGTCATTTCCTCATAGACGTCTATGGGAGCAGAGGAGTCGCCCCCTGCTGGTCACTACAGAGAAGTAGAGTCATTTCCTAATAGACGTCTATGGGAGCAGAGGAGTCGCCCCCTGCTGGTCACTACAGAGAAGTAGAGTCATTTCCTCATAGACGTCTATGGGAGCAGAGGAGTCGCTCCCTGCTGGTCACTACAGAGAAGTAGAGTCATTTCCTCATAGACGTCTATGGGAGCAGAGGAGTCGCCCCCTGCTGGTCACTACACAGAATGCAGCTTTGATTTGGCAGGTTGTCTGACAGGAGGTGACTTGTACTGATGTGGTTCCTCTGAGTCCTCCTCTTGCCTCTCGTCCACAGGCCGAGTCTCTGGGTTTGGATCTGCAGACGCTGGCCAGGTCGTCCAAAGGGGACGGCTGGTCCAGACCCAGACTGTGTCACATCAGCAGAGACCCCGAGTGTGGCCTGGGGATGACCGTCACCCGGGTGGACGGTGAGCGATCAGCCGGCTGATGGGGCTCACTGGCGTGCATGAGTGGTTGTCACGGCGATGTAAATGTAAACGAGGACACATGAAAAGCCAAGATGCTGCTTTTATTAAGGATGGAAGTTGCATAGAAACGTTGCTCCTAATAAATGAGATTTCCGAGGAGCTTGAGAAGTTACTACTAATAATCCTATTTGTGATAACGGCTGCGTCCTCAGGTCAGAAGGGGCAGTTCGCCGTGAACACGCTGACCGACGGCCCCGCGGAGAAAGCCGGCGTCCGCTCGGCTGACCGGCTGATCTGGATCAACGGGGAACCGGCGTCCTCGCTCTCTCGGTCCATGCTGAACAGAACCGTACGAGTCCGCCTCAGGGCACTGGACCCGTGTGCTAGTGGCCGGGTAGCCCCCCCGCCAGCACACTTCATTCTGCTTTATTGAATATTCACTAAACACCTGAAGGATGAACGCCGTGCGTCTGCCCCGCAGGTGGAGAGGGGCGGGGCCGCGGTGACGGTGCTGGTCATCGACCCCGAGGGCGAGTCTTGCCGCGTCAGGAGGAAAACGCCCGTCCTGCCGGCGGTGGCCGAATGCCGCGGCCTGCCGCACGCCTCCAGGACCATGCGGCTGCACAAAGGGCCCGACGGGTACGGCTTCCTGCTGAGGCAGGAGAAGCTGGGCGGCTCCCAGAGGAAAGGTCAGAGGTCACGACACAAGACCGAGTAACCGCGCACATTCACATATGCAGCCTGAGCCTTTGTCTCCTTCAGGGTCACATGACCGTTGGTCTCAGGTGAGTCAATCAAGCGTCTTAGTTTCACTGGCAAACGGTTTATTTGTGGCGAGGTTTTTATTGGGAAACGAAGAGCAAAATGTTATTGTTGAAACATCTTATTTCTCGTCTGTTGCAAACCTTGTGTCCTCAGCCCGGTTGAAAGGGGGCCCCTGAGGATGAAGTCAGCTTGTTTTAGGTCTTTTCGATCCCTCCTGTTGGGGCTCGGGGGGTTTAAAGGGTCTGTTTCTTTGTCAAAGTGCCGATCGTGTCTCTGAGCTTCCGTCCTTTCCTCTCCCAGTTCATGTGTTGAGGGAGGTGGAGGAAGGGAGCCCAGCCGAGGCGGAGCTGATGGAGGACGGAGACCTGCTGCTGGCCGTTAACGGGACCCCCGTCGAGTCTCTGGAGCACGACGACGTGGTCAAAGAGATCCGACGGAGCGAGGACAAAGTGGTCCTCACCGTCATGTCCACGCGGGGGAGGGACTTTTACAGAGAGGTAAACGTGCAGCGTCTCTCTACACGGATTTGTTCCTTTTATCATCACGCAGCTGCAGAGTCAGAACTCCTCGACCTTCATCCGCCTCCGGGTTTTTTCCCGTAGTTGGGGATTTCTCCCCTGTTGTTCCACGAGGAGGGTTCACTCTGGGACGAGGGGCAGCAGCACCAGACCCAGGGGGACACCCCTCTGAGAGACAGAGGGGGACGCCCCACAATCAAGGGGACAGACGGACCGGGACAGACTGTGACCCAGATCAGCCAGGAACTCTGAGCCGAAGGTAAAATACTCATGAGGCTTTTTCCTCTTCAAAAGGGAACCATGACGACTAGAAACGGAGAGAACTGGAACACGCATGTAGTGAAGAACAACACACGCATGAATGAATCAGCAAAAATAACAAAATGCATATTCAATTTCTCACTTATTCTTATTTTTTTTGCAAAAAATGGATCAAATTAGAATCTAACATTTATCAAGTCTACTTGTCTGGAAATGTTTTTTTGTATAAAATGAGAAATTAAGGTGTTTTTTTTTATTAAGTTTTTATTTATTTTAATGTATACGTGTATACATATATATGTAATTAATGCATTTATACATATTTATATATACTTCAGTCCTCCGTCATATCTAGAAACAGGTGGTCATTCTGAATAAATAACGGTCACATGATGCGTTTGTTTTTTTCCAGCTGTGTGAGAAAAGCTGTCCAGGAGAGAATGATTGAGATGGAGGTCCGACGCCTTGAAAAAGTGGAGTTATTGCTTCAGTGTGTAATTATGCAGCTGCTGGGCCGAGATGCTCCTCCACCTCTGGAATTGGATTGCAGGACTTCTTAGATTCTCTTCTGTATTTTTGAGCCATTTAAAAAAACAATCATTTTTTTATGTGAAGCTTTCTGAATCACATCACATGTCTCTTAGCTGACGCTTTTATCCAAATGACTTACATTGCACTTTTACATTCAGTTGGGTGTCTTGCTCAGGGGCACTGGCGCAGGCGGGGTTCCAACCGCCAACCCTGTGGCGCTCCGTCTCTACCCCAATGCGCCGCCGTCGTATGATAACGTTAAATTATTAAGCGGCATATATTGATCGAGTATTTTTCAGAGGCCGATCCATGCGATGTCTTTATATGATGCACTGAGCATTAAACGTTAAACCCGTTTCATCAGTACATTTTGTTTGGTATTATTTATTTTGGGCAGGACATGATTAGCAATTATTAGAAGAGACAACTCACAGGAATAGAAACGTAACATGTCTCATAATGTCATTGATAACATATCAAAAGTTATAACTGAAAATGTATATGATACATTTTATTTTATATTTAAATATTACACTTCGTGGTGGCGTGGTGGTTTTCACCGTCTCCTCACAGCAAGAAGGTCCTGGTTCCATTCCGCCCAGAGGCCTTTCTGTGTGGAGTCTGCATGTTCTCCCCGTGCCTGCGTGGTTCTCTCCGGGTTCTCCGGCTTCCTCCCACAGTCCAGAGACCTGCTCTGGGGATCAGGTTGATTGGGGACTCTAAATGGCCCGTAGGTGTGTGAGTGTGAGTGTGAATGGTTGTGTGTCTCTGTGGAGCCCTGTGATTGGCTGGTGACACGTCCAGGATGAACCCGTCTATCACCTGAAGTCTGCTGGGATGGACTCCAGCCCCCCAAGACCCCGTGTGCAAGATAAGTGCTTCGGTTTGCAGATGGATGGATATCATACAGATATATATATATATATACAAAATAAGAATATATTGTGTATTTAATCAATAAATATCAGAATAGTTAATGTTGGTTATTTACCTTCAACGTATATTAAATATTTGGTATTTGTACTATTAACCAAAAACTTAAAGATAAAATGGTCAAATAAACCTATCCATTAAAACAATCCCTTTCATTTCATAGGTACCCTCTGATTCCTGATCCACTGTGTGAATTTACTGTGGATCACAGTTTTACACAACATGATGTGATACAGAGTATAGAATAGATATTTCTATACTAGAATAGTATAGAAGTACTGTAATTCACGTATACCTTATATGTACATATTGGATTACATCATACATGATATGTATGTGTTATTAAGTTGATGTTTCAATTAAATAGTTTAACGTTATTAACGGTAGTTTTGTTTTCTAAACCCGACAGGTTCACAGTGAAGATGGTAGTTTATTTTGAAAAATTGACATTCAAGCGACGACACGTGTTCGCTGGATGTTAAAAGCGCCAAACACCTAACATCTAAACCAAATTATTGCGATGTTACTGATTTTAAAAAAGCGGTTTTAATCTATTAAACCATTTGCACGTATTAACAGCGAGAAACAACTACAATGCAAACATTCAATCTAACGGGCCGGAGTGTTATCTGTCTTATTTTGAAAAACAGTGACCGGAAGCTGCGCTCTCCTTCTTCTCCGCACTCTGCGCAGTAGAGCCGTTGATCCGAGCGGCGGCCGTCACCACGCACGGGCTCCATTCCCCCCCGAAAGCACCCGCGAACAGCAGCCATGGCGTCCGAAGAGCTGGCGAAGAAGCTCCAGTCGCGGCTTGCCGCTACGCAGGAGGCCGAGCCGCGGGCCGAGCCGCGGGCCGAGCCCGGACCGCAGGAGGCCGAGGCGGCGTCCTCCTCCTCCGCCGAGCTGTCCGCCGTGCTGACCCGCCGTCAGGACATCAACGACGGGAACGCGGCCTCGCGACCGACCCGCGTCTTCAACCCCTACACGGAGTTCAAGGAGTTCTCCCGCAAGCAGATCAAGGACATGGAGGCCATGTTCAAGCGGTGAGGCGCTTTGCTCCGCGCGCTTCTCCCGCACGCGGAGCCGTCATGGTGATGTGTAGCCGCGGGGGGAGAGCGGGGGGAGCGGGGGGGGAGCGGGGGTGCGTGTCGTGATCGGTTGTCGTGACGTAGTAACCGGCCAAAAGAACACGAACGACGCAGTGAAGAGGAGCTACGGAGTCCCGCAGCGGCCAATAGTCTAACGGGCCAAACGCAACTGGAATACATTATATTATCGCAATTGATGTTACATGTTTTATTTGTCAAAATTTTTAAAAGAATGAATTTAATTAATTGAAAAACAACAATTGTACATTTGACAAGTGGACTCCATAACGTCAACGTTCCTCTGTGCTCTGCTCCCGGTCAGATGGTTTCATTCTTCTGCTCCCGGTCAGATGGTTTCATTCTTCTGCTCCCGGTCAGATGGTTTCATTCTTCTTGCTCCGGGTCAGATGGTTTCGTTCTTCTTGCTCCGGGTCAGATGGTTTCGTTCTTCTTGCTCCTGGTCAGATGGTTTCATTCTTCTGCCCCGGTCAGATGGTTTCGTTCTTCTTGCTCCCGGTCAGATGGTTTCGTTCTTCTTGCTCCCGGTCAGATGGTTTCGTTCTTCTTGCTCCCGGTCAGATGGTTTCGTTCTTCTTGCTCCCGGTCAGATGGTTTCGTTCTTCTGCTCCCGGTCAGATGGTTTCGTTCTTCTGCTCCCACAGAGAACAGTTCCAGTCTGTTCTCGGTGGCCTGCAGCCCGGACAGGAACTCCTTTCTCTGTAATCGGGCCTTCGTGCAGTTGAGGTTCCTATTGTGATCTCTTCCAGCCCGGTCAACAACAACAACCATGTTGTCCCTTCATGCATCTTATTAGACGTTCTGTAGAACAATGCTCATGGATGAATAACAACTGCTGTTTAGGTTTTTTAATGCTTTCTCTGTTGACACGTTGAAGCCGGTGTGGATCTGGTTCCTTTGATCTGGGAGCAGATGTGACGGATTTCCAAAAGTCCTATTTGTTTATTTAGTGTCATGATGCTGTTCAGTGATTTTGTTTGTTTGTTGCATAGCCGGATTGGAACCGCAGACTTTGTTCAGCTGCTGAAGGCTTCTATAAATACTGTGGGGTCAGTTGGTGATAACCGGCGTCTGAGTGGCAGCAGGAATCTGTGACCATTCATCTTTTGTTCTTTAGGTTCCGACAAAAACATGTTCACCGCTTTACTGTTTTTAAAAATACCAGCAGGGACACATCTAGAACATTTCTAATTTTGTGAAATGGTTTACAAATTGTATTGTGTTGTCCATAAGTGGTAGAGACCTGTCAATCAGCATGGAGCCCCGCCCTAAAGCGCCCCCTGCTTTATGGTCTATTTGACTCTAAATGGACCATCATTCACTAAATGAACATCGTGTTGACGAAGACTTGAAACTAGAGACTGAGACCATAAACTCATGTTTACAATGTTTACTGAGGGAATAAATCAAGAGGGAAGTAGAGTAATTTCCTCATAGACGTCTATGGGAGCAGAGGAGTCGCCCCCTGCTGGTCACTACAGAGAAGTAGAGTCATTTCCTCATAGACGTCTGTGGGAGCAGAGGAGTCGCCCCCTGCTGGTCACTACAGAGAAGTAGAGTCATTTCCTCATAGACGTCTATGGGAGCAGAGGAGTCGCCCCCTGCTGGTCACTACAGAGAAGTAGAGTCATTTCCTCATAGACGTCTATGGGAGCAGAGGAGTCGCCCCCTGCTGGTCACTACAGAGAAGTAGAGTCATTTCCTCATAGACGTCTATGGGAGCAGAGGAGTCGCCCCCTGCTGGTCACTACAGAGAAGTAGAGTCATTTCCTCATAGACGTCTATGGGAGCAGAGGAGTCGCCCCCTGCTGGTCACTACAGAGAAGTAGAGTCATTTCCTCATAGACGTCTATGGGAGCAGAGGAGTCGCCCCCTGCTGGTCACTACAGAGAAGTAGAGTCATTTCCTCATAGACGTCTATGGGAGCAGAGGAGTCGCCCCCTGCTGGTCACTACAGAGAAGTAGAGTCATTTCCTCATAGACGTCTATGGGAGCAGAGGAGTCGCCCCCTGCTGGTCACTACAGAGAAGTAGAGTCATTTCCTCATAGACGTCTATGGGAGCAGAGGAGTCGCCCCCTGCTGGTCACTACAGAGAAGTAGAGTCATTTCCTCATAGACGTCTATGGGAGCAGAGGAGTCGCCCCCTGCTGGTCACTACAGAGAAGTAGAGTCATTTCCTCATAGACGTCTATGGGAGCAGAGGAGTCGCCCCCTGCTGGTCACTACAGAGAAGTAGAGTCATTTCCTCATAGACGTCTATGGGAGCAGAGGGAGTCGCCCCCTGCTGGTCACTACACAGGATGCAGCTTAACTCATCTCTGATTTCACTTTTCAGATCCTGGGTCAGAACCAGCTGCTAACACTGTGTGGGGGTTCTCGTGGTTCTGCAGGTACGACACTGGTAGAGACGGCTTCATCGACCTGATGGAGCTGAAGCTGATGATGGAGAAGCTTGGCGCTCCTCAGACTCACCTGGGCCTGAAGAACATGATCAAAGAGGTGGACGAGGACTTCGACGGCAAGCTGAGCTACAGGAGAGGTGAGAGTCAGACCGGAGTTCTGTTACTTTGATAATCCTGAATATTGAGTGATTATAAAAAGCAAGGGTGAGAAAATAACAGCTTATTATAAGGAATAGGGATCAATACATTTTAAATGTATTTATTTTGTATTTATTGAAAACGTGCCTGTTGTTTATCGGTAAAGATTTGTTTCAGAACTAAATGTTGAGTTATCTCCTGTCCGCTATTATTTTGGCGGGGCCTGCTTGATGCTGTCCCACGGGGTGCAGAGGGTGAAGCTCTGTTCTTCATCCTCTAGTTCCTGCTGATCTTCCGGAGGGCGGCGGCTGGGGAGCTGCAGGAGGAGAGCGGTCTGATGGCGCTCGCCAGGCTGTCGGAGATCAACGTGTCCACCGAGGGGGTCATGGGGGCCAAGGACTTCTTTGAGGCTAAGGTACGTCCGTACTGGCTGGGATCCTCCTGCTTCAGGACCTCGCGTCGAGGTTTAGTGTCGGCCCTCATTTACTCCCCACATAATAATGTACAATCATTGATGATGACCTCATTGTTGGGTCTCTAGTCTCAGATCATGTGACATCGGTAACAACCAATCAATGTTGAGATTGACAGGGGGAGGAGTTAGTAACATTAGCAGCACGGCTAACAGCTAACCAATGACAGGTGTCTTCAGTTACATCATGATGCGTTCAGGCTCCGCTCTGTGAACATGAGAACTGTAGCGTTCTCATGATGTTGGCCATTAGAGATGAATTATCCTGCTTAACTTCCTAAAGAAGTACGTTATTAGCCGGCATTAATAACAATGACATTTGTTTTAAGTCATAGAAAAATAATCGGCATACTTCGGACCTTTTGAAAAGGATTTTCAGAACCATGAGTTTGATGCCCATCCAGAGGAAGTCCCCACAGACCGCCAAAATAAAGCTCAGCCGGGCCATAGCTGAAATAAGCTGGTGACCGCTCCCGCCCCCCTCGTGTGTCCCCAGGTTCAGGCTCTGTCTCTGGGCAGCAAGTTCGAGGCCGAGATCCAGGAGGAAAAAGAGGAGCGCAAGAGACAGGAAGTGGATAAGAAACAGAGGCAAGCCGCCTTCAAGCAGCTGCAGTCGGCCTTCTGCTCCTGACCCCCCCTGCCCCCCTGCCCACCTGCCCACCTGCCCACCCGCCCCGGCAGCCCGTCGGCACCAAGCGCTTCTCATCCCTCTGGCTCACAGGAGCAAAACGACAAAGTAAATACGCACTAAAATACTTGAAAATACCTCGTAGGGGAAAAAACGCGCGTCATATCGTGAAGTATCGTCGATTCCTCGTGGTTCATTTCTGTGTAACAAACTGGAAGTTTTTATCTCGAGTTGAGCCTTTTTGTTAGTCACGCGATCTCCTGATCGTCGCCTTGGTGACGCCCGATAGATAATATATACGTCATAACAAGTAACAAGTTTAATCCTTATGCAACACGTTTGTGAATAGTTTACAGCTTGAAACCGTCCGGACCACATTGATGAAGATTTGATCCAAAAACGTTCTGAAATCAACATGACCAGATTTTCACTACAGAAGGTTTACGTTTGAAAGGTTTTATTTCAAGGAGCAGTTCTGGTTCATTGGCTTCATCTCCGGGGGAAACGAGAGCGATAGCGGTACGCAGCTGGTTAGCGTAGCCTAGCTTCACATAAAGACCTGGAGTCTTGTTGATTCCATCCGTGCAACAAACAAGCAGTTAAAACGACAGCACTTTTTCTCTGGAACGCCGAAAAGCGTTTTAATATCGACGGTTCCAAAGCACAGAACTCCCCCTGACTTACCTTCACCCTTCTGCTACCGCACGGAGGGAATAAACCGCGCTCAGGTCCTCGTGCTAAGCTAGGCTAACTGCACCCAGACCGCTGCTGACTTTGTCTCAGACAGAAAGCCAATGAAGTCGTTTTTCTTAAATGTTACGTGTGTGTGTGTGTGTGTGTGTGTGTGTGTGTGTGTGTGTGTGTGTGTGTGTGTGTGTGTGTGTGTGTGTGTGTGTGTGTGTGTGTGTGTGATAAGTGTTCTCGGTCTGATGAGTTTGTCTTGTGAGTTTTGAGTCTGGTGTAGTTTTAAATAAGCGGTTTTCACTAGCATGCAAAGCGCGCGCCGGTCGAGTGTCACTGTAGATCTTCTCATGTGTAGCTTAAGATCAATGTTAGAAAATCTACTGAACCCAGAACGAGCAGCTGAAGTTATGCAGTCAAAGTTTATCTGTCATTTATTAGACTCTTTGCAGGGTTTCACACTGTGACATAATACTAGATATTTGTTTTAGTCTGTAGTGTGTTTCTAAAGGGTCCTCCAGTGATTCATGTTGCACATTCGTAAAGTCAAGGATCCAAAGACGTCCTTAAATACTGGAACAACATTCCCCATAATGCAACGCCTGCTATCCTCTTTGATGATTCTCTTCCTGAGAAAAAGGGCGAGCACTGACCTTTGACCCGGCGTGGTGACAGTGTTACAGACGCACAGTCGACCCAGTGATGTCATGGGGGAACTAAAGATTAACTAAACATTACCACGGCATTTGTTTTGGACTTCGAGTTGTTTACGGATAAAACTAATATCTTAATCTCAGAAGAGATTTTTTTTCTCAAAGTATTGAACTATTTCTTTCCAATATGTATTTTAGCCGTTAGCCTCGTGTCGACCCATTCCACTCGCGTCATTCCTCACCTTAGTTGCAACAAACATACAAAACCCTCTGATGTGTGAAGCCTAGAAAATGTGTAACGCCGACCCGTCGGACTCTTTGTTTTATTCAACATGAACGTGTTTAATTTGTTGGACGTTTTAAGTTGTCATTTAACAGGAACTACTGTGTGTCGCAAACCTTCCTTGGTATCTGTTGTGCAAAACTGACAATGTATTTTTTCATGAATAAATTAGTATATATATTGTTAATTGTCTTAGAGACTTATAAGTTGCCAAATATGAAAAAAATAAAGGTCATTGAGATATTTTTGGGGCACTTGTAAAGCTATTGTCTTGTAGCCAGAATTAAAGTATGACTTGATTGCAATAAAGGATAAATTCAACTGATATTAACCTCTGAATATGAATAAAGACTGAATATGTGTTACTCTTAAAAGCATGGTTAAATACTCATTTTTATTTCAAATATGAACCTCACACAATCCCTACTAAAGGAATGAGCTTATGTATAACATTTCAATAATATACACACACAAACGCACTAAAAAAACAATCTGCAATGTATGTAGTTAAATAGATCGGAACGCTTGGACCATCCGCTGCATCAAACTTTATATTTACCAACTTTTTTTGCATATTACTATTAATAGTAACTATTATTAACTACTATTAATATTATATATATATTTTGACCCCAACTTTTTAACTTTTTCTCCCATGACATTAATCGTATAAATCAACATATTTTTTTTCCTGAACATTTTTCAACCTAATATTTCTTTACTTTTTTTTCAAACATTTTCCAACGTGATATATTTTGCTATGACATTTTTAAACCTAATTTCTTAAAATCTTTTTTTCTCAATTGCTAACCAGCATTGTTCAATCCTGAAACCACACTTTCAAAACTCTTCAGTCACATTACAAGATTCATTTTGGACAAACAGTTAATCAAACACTTCATTCATGTCTCAACATGAGCTTATTTTCAAAAACCTTTTTTGACCTAATATCTTTGACCTTTTTGTAGTGTAGTTGTTTTTTTTTCAAATCAAAAACCTTTTTTCTTTTACTTTTTAGAAATTTCTTTTGAAATAACGTATTGTGACTTTTTTCCACGACATTTTCGACTTAATATTTTACATTTGACCGACTTCAAAACTGATTTGTAAAAACGTCCTAAAAATGTATCCATTCTACATGCGCGTGTAAAGATGTGCACATTTCTAAATGAGCCAAGCAGCTTTAGAGGATGAATTGAAAAACCCACAAACCAGATCAGCACTTTTTTTTCTTGACTTAAACTGAACGTTAATTCCATCCCAAGTGTTTCTAGAAGACATGATGTTCCATAGAGAGAAAACCCCTCTTCATTGTGTCCTCGCACTTTTCCAGTTTGCTTGTAGCCTCTTTTGGTTGGGTGACTTGGTTGACTTATCTTTAGTTCATCTGATTTTAAACCAATTCATTTGAACTTTAAACCAATACATTTGGAAATGTATTGAAATTACCTATTTTTACAACATCAACAGTCATGTTTTAGACGTATCGGGCCCACAGTTGCTCCACCATCTCCAGCAGCTGGTCCACTCCACCGTCTCCTGTTCTCGTGTCCAACACTCGGTATCGGCGTCCACATCTATCCAGCAGCCACTGCAGAGGCCGTCCACTCTCCTCCACGTGCTCCTCCACCTTCCGTCCCCTCAGCTCCTCCCCGAAGGTGAACAGCACCGCGGTGCTCCCCCACACTTGGCTCCCCAAGACGCCGAGGTTCTTCTCCACGGCTCGCCGGTCCTTCTCTCCGAACGGGCCGACCGGGACGGCCAGCAGGAAGGAAACCCTGCTCCTCTGGGGGCAGAGTGAGGGGCTCCGCCTGACCTCCGCCCGGACCTCTTTGGAGTTGGCCAGACCGAACAGGCTCCACCCGGGGGTGTCCACCACGGTGACGGCCCTCCCCGAGGCTCGGCCGTGGCCTGCGGTGCACCGGGTGGTCTTTGTGTCCGACCGGAACTCTTCCCTGTCCAGGATGGTGTTCCCGGCTGAGCTCTTCCCCGACCTCCTCCTTCCCAGCAGGACGAGGCTCAGAACCGGCTCACAACGAGCCGGTTCCACGAGGAACCCTGCAAGGAAACACATTCCAGGGCTTCATCACGACCGGGGTGCAGGTGTGCTGATGGGTGGGATAAGAGACACGTACCTCCTGGGGACAATGTCTGTCTTGAGGCCGTCCGCTCCATGTGTCCTGTTTTCCAATCATCTATCTCCACTCGTCCTCCCCAGGACTTCTTGGCCCCCCTCGCGGCCAGCTCTTGTCTCAGCTGGGTGTACATCCGATCCCTCATCTCCTTTGGCCGCTGGTTGACCTCCACCACCTTCCGGATCTTCTCAAAGAGCTCCGAGTGCTGCGACTCCGACCAGGCCGACAGAACCTGGTAGCGGTTCCCGCATCGCTCCAGCAGCCATCGAAGGGTCCGGCCCTGTCGTCTTATGTGCTCCTGGATGGGGAGGCCTCCTGCAGCGGAGAGGACACCTCATTGGTGGAGCTGGACCTCGACGGCCAATTAGCAGAGAGACCAGTGAGCGTAAAGGAAGCACAGTGATTGTTAGCCCACCTAACTTGTCTGCGCGGGTGAAGAGGACCATGGCTTTCTGCCAGATGGGGGTCTGCAGCAGCCTGAGCTGGGCCTCCATGGCCCTCCACTCCGGCTGGCCGAAGGTGGAGGTGCAGGGCAGCGCCAGCAGGATGACGTGGGGGTCCTGGCGGCAGAGCGTCAGCCCTCTGCGCAGCTCCTCAGACACTCTGTCTGGAGGGAGGGAGTGGGACATCCACCCGGGGGTGTCCACCACCGTCACCTGGGGGCTCACAGTGAGTCACAGTGAGTGAAGCGTCACAGCCAAAGGGCCCCAAAAGTAAACCCGCAAACGTTGAGTATTCACTTGGGTCCCAAAGGCGGCGCCGTCCTCTCTGGAGCTGCGAGTTGTTTCCTCGTGAAACGCCAGCTTCCCCAGGATGGAGTTTCCCACGAGGCTCTTCCCGCTGCGCTTCTCTCCCAGTAACAGCACCACCAGTCTGGACTGGTCCGGCTGCGGACCTGAGGAGCAGACCGGGCTCACGGTGGGCAACTCACCGCGGGAGGCTTCCATGTCGCCAGGCAGATCGTTTCCTCTGGTGCTTCCTGCTGCTGGTCGCGTGGCAGCGGGACGAACGCGTTCAGCTCGGTATCAGAGTCAAAGTCCGCCAGAGAGCTGCAGAGTTCCTGAGAAGGCGCGTAGTTAAAACCCACGCAGATAACAGAGGCTATAAACCACGCACCGCACAGCTGTACTGCTGTTCATACGTAAAACTGAGCTTTTATTTCAGAGAAATACAGATTATGAATAAAAAGTTGAATTCTTGTTCAGTAAAATGTCAGTGAGGTTCACAGCGTCGGAGCAGAGCTAAACTCAACCTTCGTCTGTAACGTCCCATTGGTTTCTTGTTCATTTGTTTGTTTCTGAAGACATTCCTTCAGCCAGAAGGTCAGAAGGTCAGAATCTCAGGCTACACCCAAAACGGCCTCCGTCCACCCGGCTTCCAGTGCTCAAACGCCGGCAGAGAGCGTAACTTCCTTCTCCAGACGGTCTGATCTCTCAGTCCTGGACCTGGTTCTCCAGGGACTCCATTCCCTACAGAGGGTCCAGCACCCCGTCCTGGGTCTGCTCCTGGAGGAGGAGGAGATGCTGCTGCAGGGAGCTGAACTCTCTTCCTCCCTCCAAAGCTCTGACTGCAGGTCCACGGCCGACATGGAGCAGGACACGAGTCCGTCCATGGTGGTCTCTGCTGGAGGATCTGGGTCTCTATATAGAGCCAGAGACACGTGCATGATGTCATCTGGTTTCACCAGAATCCGACCCGGTGGATCAGGACTACAGTGAGACTGGTTCCGGACCAGGTGAAGGTTCCTGCCTGTTTGCTGCGTGTATTTATTTCATTATTCAGATCAGACTGCGGCTGCAGCGCTCGTCCACAGTAGGACGCGATGCTGCGTCACATGATCACATTACATGACGTCATGATAAAGAAACATCCAGAAGAAAATTAATAATACATAGGTGACTTTAGTAGGCTACCTCCTCAGCCTACATTCCCCATGATGCAACACGGCAATTAGTTGTAGTTTGTCTTGTCCGTCCTCCTGTAGGTTCGACTCTTAATGGTTACATAACGTTTACTCTGTTTACGTCTCACCGTTTAAATCAACATTTACTTAAAGTTGCAAAGAAGTATAAAAAATAGACTTGAATTTGTCTTCTGTGTTTGCTGTTAAGATTTAGAGACAAGAGACAAATAAACACAGTTTTGTTAACTTTAATTCACACACACACACACACACACACACACACATATATATATATACCTATACATATATTTATATAACTATATCTTTATAGGTATATATATCCATGTGTTTGACTGCCACCTTTAAACAAAAATAATTATAGAATTAATAATAACTTTTGTCTCTCTTGAAACCTGTGAAATGAAGTCATGTTCAGCACCATTGAAGTACATTCTGTGTATTGCATCAGGATATAAAAATATACAGATATAGTGTTCTTGTCTTCTTTAAAACATTCTGTTGTTCAATGGCGTGAAACAAGAGGAAGAAAAGGGGCTGCGATGGACGAGGACCGTTACCGCGGCGATTCATCCTCCACAGCACATCAGCAGCACGAGAAGGAACAACGCCGACCGGGTTTCCCCGTGAGACGGGTCACAGCGCCACCCGCCTCCTCCACCCGCGTCCTCCACCCGCCTCCTCCACCCGTCACGGGAGAGAGACCGAGGGAAGAGGAGGAGGAGGAAGGAGTGACGCTGGTGGGCTCGTGACCACGACCGGTCCTCTTACACGTCATCTTCAGTCCAAAGTGGTGCTGATGCTGACAAAGACGATGATGATGATGCTGATGATGGTGATGATGATGATAAAGACGATGGTGATGGTGATGATGATGATGATAAAGACGATGGTGATGGTGATGATGATGATGATAAAGACGATGGTGATGGTGATGATGATGATAAAGACGATGGTGATGATGATGATGCCCGAAAAAAATAACATGAAAACAATATAAATTACAACTGAAAAAAGGGCTGAATTGCAACAAGTGAGTTTTTAATGGTTTGAGGCAAACAAGAAGGAGATAAGAGGCGTGTTCGGAGTGCATAGAGATGGACAGATTCACCCGGGGGGGGGCGGGTGGGATTATTGCCCTGTGACAACCTCACACACACACACACACACACATGCACACACACACACACACACACGTTCACCCAGCATGAGAAGGACAGAAGAGGAAAGCTGCAGAGAGAGAAGGTGCTCCGCCCTCCCCCTCCCCCCCGGGCTGGTGGAGGAGTGTGTCTTTGTGTGTGTATGTGTGTGTGTGTTCATGTGTGTGTGTGTGTGTGCGCCCGTGGGATATATGTCCAAAAAATAGTCCAAGCTCTGATTTCTGGTTTGCATCTCCATGTGTGGAGGCTTCACATGCGCGAGGACGACGCCAGCTCGTAGAACAAGACGTAGGCGTCGCTGCTGCGCACTTGGCTGGAGGACATTGGCGTTACTCTGGAGGAAGAGGGGGGGAGAAAAGTTGCATTGTGGGAAAACCACAGCGATGGAGACCAGAAAAGAGTGATCGTATTTACTTTCTTAAACTTAGATTGATGAATAATACACACAGGCAGGAAGAGCATGTGATGAAGATGAAGATGAAGAAGATGAGGGGATCAACCTACCTGGAGTCGTTGAAGGTGTACCACTCCCCCGAGCTGGGGCTGCGGCAGTAGGCCGTGTAGTGACCCCCCATGGTGGTGCCTGAGTGGTTGGACACTGCGTACAGGTTGTACACCGCGTCTACTGAAAGGAAGCAGTATTACAGAGTGGCACCACCTCCTCCTCCCCCCCTCCCCCCCTCCTCCCCCCCTCCTCGCCCTCGCTTACTGCTGTGTTGGGAGGCAAACTCCCGCAGGTCCAGGTCTTTCATGGGGAAGTTCACGAAGGTGGACAGTTTGCTGGTTCTTCGCGCCTCAGAGAAGCGCTTGAGGTCTGGAGGAAGAGGAGGAGTCAAGGAGCGTAACGATTAGAAGAAGCCTCAAGGTGATGATTTCTTGGGGGAACCGAGCAGCTGTAAGGAGACACGCGGGGACACGAGGGGACACAGGAAAGGATACGCAGCACTAGGATCTTGGGGAACTTCTGTATGGTGAACTTCTTGGTGCATCTCCTGCGAGCTTTACACCTGTAGCACGTCTGAGGAGAAGAAACATGGGATCAGGTTGGAACCGTCAGAGGAGCATCCTGCAGAAGATTCTCCGTCCGCCCAGACGGGACAAGACAAGTCCTCTGGTTTCCACGTTGAAGCATCATTACTGCATTATGCAGCGCACACGTCTCACGGGGGCGGAGTCAGTATCCGCAGGAGACGGGGATGGAACCGCCGTTCATCCTCGTCCTCTCACGTCCTCTCACGTCCTCTGACGTCCTCTCACGTCCTCTGACTCTTACCGGCTTCTCGTCTCCGTCGAGGACGTCTTCCTTGGTGAAGAGCCGCATGCAGTCCATCAGGCTGACGTCACCGTAACCCTGCTGAGACCAAACGGAGACACACGGACGTGAGCACGCACACAACACGCACACAGACACACAACACGCACACAACACAGACACACACAAAGAAAAGCACAAACAGACGCAGGGAGGAAACCAAAGAGCTGATGTTAAGTAAAGAACATAAAGACATCCAGCTGTCTACGACACGCGTGTGTGTCTGTGCTTTGTGTCCGTGTGTGTCTGTGTGTGTGTGTGTGTGTGTGTCCGTGCTGTGTGTGCGTCCCGACCTTGGCGATGGGGAGAGAAAGGTCCCAGAAGGGGTCGAACACGGTGGAGCAGAACCCACAGTGGCTGCAGGTCAGAGAACTCTTCAGCTGCCCCACGAACACATCTGGAGGAGAACCAGGACCAGCGTCAATACAGATGTTCTCATACATTTCATGTGTTAAGCTAAATATATTTCAGACCATGTAGCTCAAAAGTAGATGAAATTAGTTGAAGTGGTAGAACAAAATGATTTCACGTTGAATAGTTTAAGTTCACTCTAAACTAAAATGAGAATCACAATTTACCAACGATCTTGCTGTCTTCTCTCTCCAGATATTTACTCCACATCTTCTTCCCTTTCTCCTCATCCCTGGAAGCAAAGCAGAGAGGAGAAGCTTTACGATAATATATATATATATATATATATACACACACACATACATGTTATATATTATAAGTGTTACTTATAATATATAACAAGAAATTGATTTTGATGAAATAAAACAATGAGTTATTTTGGTTCCTTTTGGTCAAAGACGATGTGTTCAGGAACTGTCGGAAAGATGAACATCGTAGGATACCTTTGAATTTACAGCGTGTGGCGCTGATGAATGTGATTGTTTAAAGACGGTGCGTTTGGGTTCTGAGGGATGTTCATCATCTGTGTGTGTGTGTGAGAGCATGTGTGTGTGTGAGAGCATGTGTGTGTGTGTGAGCATGTGTGTGTGTGTGTGTGTGTGAGAGCGTGTGTGTGTGCGTGTGTGTGTGTGTGTGAGAGCATGTGTGTGTGTGTGAGCATGTGTGTGTGTGTGTGTGTGAGAGCGTGTGTGTGTGCGTGTGTGTGTGTGTGTGAGAGCATGTGTGTGTGTGTGAGCATGTGTGTGTGTGTGTGTGCGTGTGAGAGCGTGTGTGTGTGCGTGTGTGTGTGTGTGTGAGAGCGTGTGTGTGTGTGTGTAGGAGAGAGCATGTGTGTGTGTGCGTGTGTGTGTGTGTGTGTGTGTGTGAGAGCGTGTGTGTGTGTGTGTGTGTGTGAGAGCATGTGTGTGTGTGTGTGTGTGTGAGAGCGTGTGTGTGTGCGCGTGTGTGTGTGTGTGTGAGAGCGTGTGTGTGTGCGCGTGTGTGTGTGTGTGTGAGAGCATGTGTGTGTGTGTGTGTGTGAGAGAGCATGTGTGTGTGTGTGTGTGAGAGAGCATGTGTGTGTGTGTGTGTGTGTGTGTGTGTGTGTGTGAGAGAGCGTGTGTGTGTGCGCGTGTGTGTGTGTGTGTGAGAGCATGTGTGTGTGTGTGTGTGTGTGTGTGAGAGAGCGTGTGTGTGTGCGCGTGTGTGTGTGTGTGTGAGAGCATGTGTGTGTGTGTGTGTGTGAGAGCATGTGTGTGTGTGTGTGTGTGTGTGTGTGTGTGAGAGCATGTGTGTGTGTGTGTGTGTGTGTGAGAGCATGTGTGTGTGTGTGTGTGAGAGCATGTGTGTGTGTGTGTGTGTGAGAGCATGTGTGTGTGTGTGTGTGTGTGTGTGTGTGTGAGAAAGAGCCTGTGTGTGTGTGTGTGTGTGTGAGAGAGAGCCTGTGTGTGTGTGTGTGTGTGTGTGTGAGAGAGCATGTGTGTGCGTGCACACTCACGGCAGGTGGTCAAAGTCCTCCCCGGCGCCCCTCGGCCTGACGCTGACCCGGTTGACCTCGTTGTGCAGTCCGTCCAGCAGGAAGCGCAGGAACTCCTGAGCGTCCTGTTGGCTGCAGGAGGACACGTGTCACACATTATCGTCCTGCATGAGAGACGCTGCTACTGACGGAGGGACGACGCTCACTTGTAGCCCACGAATCTGGGAGCGTATCTCTGGATCTGCGTTTTTGAACTCGGACGGGCTGACGGCGTCGCTGCTGGACGACGTCCACACGGTCTGAAGGAGCTTAGCGAACTCTGCCGGGACCAGAAGACGCAAAGGTCACTCGCCAAGCCCACGAGAGACGCATTTGTCCATGCGTGGTCAGTTGACAGGGTTTAAATGATCAGAAGTCAATAACCACGACGCGGCAGGCGAGACTCACCCTCCATGAGGGCGGTGTCGCTGCGCCGGTTGTTGTTAAGGTCTCTGCGGTGCGCGTTGTGCAGGCAGTAGTCTCTCAGGCTGTGAGTGTTGCTGAGACACTGCAGGATGCTGTTCATGAAGCACTGCAACACACACACACACACACACACACACAGGCACCACACACAGGCACACACACAGCACACAACACACACACACACACACACACCGTGAGTCTCTCACAGAGATATTTTATGTGTACATTATAGATCAACATTGTCTCAAAAGCACTAGCTAGCTGGCTGCTAGCTGCAGCTAGCTGGCTGCTAGGCTGCTAGCTCAGCTCCCTGAGAGAGATACTGATGTCCCTCAAGCTACAGCCTGTTGACCTTCAGGGTCACTTCGTAACGTCACGAGTCTGACAGACAAACGCCTCCGTTCAGCCTGTTGATCTTCACCAGAGAACGTCAGAGACACGAGGAACCATGTGACCCTTTGATCACGAGCATGTGACCTCATTATGATTCATAGTAACGTAAAACAGCAGAGTACTCCGAGCACACACACACACGCACCATAGACACACACACACACACACACACACGCACCACACGCACACAGACACACACACACACACACACGCACACACGCACATAGACACACAGACACACCACGCACATAGACACACACACACACACACATAGACCACACAGACACACACACGCACACAGACACCACACACACCCACACTCACACACACGCACATAGACACACACACACACACACACGCACACACAGCCTGTGGACATTCCGGGTACACGTGATGTTTGGTGGGATGAAACCAGAGAGAGAACCAGTCCTCACTGGTCCAGAGTTCACAGCTCTGTGATCAGGTTTACTGCACACACACACACACACACACACATGCACACACACACACTCACAACAGCACACACAGCACACACACACACAGGCACACACACACACACACACACAGGCACACACACACACACACACACAGGCACACACACACACACACACACAGGCACACACACACACACACGCACAGACGCACACACACACACGCACAGACGCACGCACACACACACACACGCACACACACATGCTCACACACAGACACACACACACACACGCACAGACGCACGCACACACACGCACAGACGCACGCACACACACACACACACGCACACACAGACACACACACACACACACGCACAGACGCACGCACACACACGCACACACACACGCACACACACACACACACACACGCACACACACACACACACACACACACACACAGACGCACACAGTGTTTATTTTAGGGTCCTGTTGCCTGGTATACAAACACTCCACTGGACCACCGGCCCGTTGTGGACTCTGCTCCGTGAGCGGCCCCAGGTGGATTGTGGGTAGTGAAAAAAACAACTGGTGTACTTACAGTGTTGCCCAGGTTCTTCAGACCCACCAGGCCTTGGGCGCTCTTTGAATTCTGGAAGACAGGGGGGGACAGTGTTTAGACTCAGATCCACGTCCTACAGCGTGTGAGACCAAGTGCAGAAGGTCCCACATTCTAGCGCTGCTTCGTGATGGTCCTCCTCACATCTCATCTGCTTCGGTCTCTGTGACCTCAGAGGGACGGACCCGAGCTGATGTTCAATGCAAGTCGCCATCAGCTGTTCAGCGTTTACTAATCTGTGATCATGTGACCGAATGTCAGCTGGTCAGAACTCCACCGAGAGCAGCTGGAGGAGCACATGGTCCTGATATCAGGATTCTTTCTGCCCACAGCACCGATAGGATACGTTACACAATAAGCAGCGGTTACGTCATCGAGGATAGAAGGTGAGGGAGGAGGAGGAGGAGGAGGAGGAGGAGGAAGGAGAGCAAACTCCTCTCAGAAAACACAGATTCATGGGAGTCAAACCGGAGCTGATGTGCCACTAGATGTTTAACCAGCTGCAGCTGGAGGTCGGCTGGAGGTCGGCTGGAGGCGCCCAACGGGAGAATGTTTGCTTTCACAGGACTCGGCGTTTTGTGTTTGTTCTGACTCTTCTCTCTGGCCCAGAGGGACACTCGGCGGTCCGGTCCACTCTGGGAGCGTTGGCTCCTGAACGCACCGTTAGAATCAGCTGGCCTTTATATATTTAAATAGTAAATAACCTCTGATGGGGGGGGGGGGGAGTGGAAACCCTTAAGTTCTATTAACTATGGCTTATCTAAAGCCTCTGTTCTGTAAATTCCAGAGGAGGTGAATGGAGCCTTTTAGCGCCATGACACACACACACACACACACACACACACACACACACACACACACACACAAAACAATAGATATCTAAATATGACAGTTTGAATCAATGGGTAAATTAAATAAAGGCCTCCCTCTCCTGATATCTGCATGAAACCCTTTAGAAGTTGGAAAAGAGATTTCAAGCTATTGAACACAATATTCACACTCGTGTGACGACACAACAGAGTTGTGTGGTTCTAATGTGAGTCCTGATTACACAACAGGAGCAGGCGCACACACACAGTCTTCTTCTCCTGAGGACAAACAGCTTCTATCCGATGATCAGAGCTTCATCCTTCATGAGCAGCTTTATAAATAATAAACTTCATAGGATCACATCCCAAACTGATCCCAGATCAGCTGTTCGTCTCTGGCGGACCCCCGGTGGATGCAGCTGTGCCGTACCGGGGATTAACGGTTAAACGCCGGTTACGTAAGCGGTGACCTGCCGGTGCAGGGCCCACTGATCCCCGGCACAGCGGCTTAAAAGAGCGGCTTAGCTCCGCGAGGGCCCCGGGGGGCCACGGGACGCGCGCGCGGCGGGACGTCACCAGCTGAATCACAGCTGTGACGCCTTCATAGTGGAAATACGCGATAATCATCATCAAACGACACATTTCTGCTGTAAGCCGCCAAAATAAATCCATATATTAACTATAATGTATGTAAGCGACATCACTGGACCCCGAGTCGGCCCATGACACCGCGTATAACCACGTATGACACATTTATCTTATCACACGCGCCGAGATACCAACCAAAATCACGTGAAATATCAACGCGATTCCCGGCGTCTGTGAGCCTGATTCCCGGTGTCTGTGAGCCTGATTCCCGGTGTCTGTGAGCCTGATTCCCGGTGTCTGTGAGCCTGATTCCCGGTGGCCGTGAGCCGGATTCCCGGTGTCTGTGAGCCTGATTCCCGGTGTCTGTGAGCCTGATTCCCGGTGGCCGTGAGCCTGATTCCCGGTGGCCGTGAGCCTGATTCCCGGTGTCTGTGAGCCTGATTCCCGGTGGCCGTGAGCCTGATTCCCGGTGTCCGTCCGGCCGGCGGAGCCTCACCTTGGCCTGGTTGATGAGCAGCCCCACGAAGGTGGACACCAGCACGGAGCCGGACACGCTGCCCTTGCCCCGCACGTCGTGCTTGAGGAAGGGGAAGGCGGCGGCCGGCGGCTCCTCGGGCACGGTGACCGCGTAGGACCGCCGCATGCTCGGCATGTCTGCGCTCGCGCTCCCCGGTGGATGTCGTCGCCGTTCGGGTCCGTCCTCCACCGCAAATATCGCTCATGCCCCGCGCGCAGGACCGCACAGGTGAGACACAGCGCCGGGGAGCGAGCAGGTGAGCCGCCCTCGCGCGTCGCTCTCTCAGCGGCAGTGACGGCTCACTGCGACCGGACCGGAGCTCCGCCCCTTTTTCGGCCTACAACCTACGTCATCGTCCGCCTCGGGGTCTACGTCAGAGCGCATCTTTCCCCACGCGGCCGCAACAAGCTGTGTGTGTGTGCGTGTCTGTGTGTGTGTGTGTGTGTGTGTGTGTGTCTGTGTGTGTGTGTCTGTGTGTGTGTGTGTGTGTCTGTGTGTGTGTGTCTGTGCGTGTCTGTGCGTGTGTGTGTGTGTGTCTGTGTGTGTGTGTGTCTGTGCGTGTCTGTGCGTGTGTGTGTGTGTCTGTGTGTGTGTGTGTGTCTGTGTGTGTGTGTGTGTGTGTGTGTGTGTCTGTGTGTGTGTGTCTGTGCGTGTCTGTGCGTGTGTGTGTGTGTCTGTGTGTGTGTCTGTGCGTGCGTGTGTGTGTGTGTGTGTGTGTGCGTGTGTGTGTCTGTGTGTGTCTGTGTGTGTGTGTGTCTGTGTGTGCGTGCGTGCGTGCGTGCGTGCGTGCGTGCGTGCGTGTGTGTGTGTGTGTGTGCGTGTGTGTGTCTGTGTGTGTCTGTGTGTGTGTGCGTCTGTGCGTGCGTGCGTGCGTGGGTGCGTGTGCGTGTGTGTGTGTGTGTGTGTGTTAGGCCTGTCATTTCCTTTGTGGTACCGGCCCCAGTTAATGTAACATGAAAGCACTCGTGGAGACGAGGGGTCATTCACTCCGTCACAATGAGCGGATGAACCGGGGAGTGATGATGGTCGTGCGTCTCCACGTTGAGTGAACAGGTGGAGGTGTTAGTGACGCTGAGCCTCCCTCCCACTCACAGAATGCCGATGATCTCTCCACGAAGGCCCAAACATTTGTACCTAAAGGGTCAATCTGGAAGCCTTTGACTCAATAACCAGCAGGGAGGCTCATTTGAGAAAGAATTAGGTTCAGATAAGGATTTGTTCGTGTTTAACTGGGCCCCAAAGTGCACATGTGATATTTGTCATTTTAAAAGATAATACAGCTGAGGAGGGATCGCAACGATCTCATATTCCTGATCAGCTTCACTGCCTTAACTCCAACCCGGCGCAGGATGAAACGCGTAAAGGAAACCGTGAACTATATTTAGACAAACGATGAAACGTAGCGCTGTGCCGCCAGCGAGCGAGCTAACGGAGGCGACACAACTCGTTGAAGGAGACGAAGATGCGTCGTTGATGACAGTTCACACAGACATTTTGTTTTATAAGAGGGGGGGGGGTCTGGGAAGTGGGCGCAGTAAGAGAGCCCCCCCCCCCCCCCACACAGACTCTCCAGTAGTGGTCCAATGGGGAGTTGACATTAGAAGCCTTCACACATTCCTGGGAGGAGCTCAGCCTTCTGGGACCGGCTGACCCCGATGACATCACCATGGGGTCACATCCTTCTCTCACCATGTCCAGGAGGTGTAGAGAACCATCCTTCATCAACGTGCGTGCTTCTCTTACTGACTGCGTGTTGCTTCAGCGCCTGTGTGACCTCCTGCTGCTGAGATCTCGACAAACACTTTGTTGAGTGCAAAGCTGCGATAGAAGGAACGGCCCTGAAATAAAGTACTGCAGTACTGAGTTACTAGTACTAGTACTATAGTGACCAAAGCGTTCCACAGCACCACAAATCAACCTCAGGGAGGCCACAAGAAGATGCTGTTTCTCTGCGTCTGAGGAAACCCCAGCGGTAGTCATGGTAACCAGCCGGCCCTCATCACAGATGAACGGCACCACGAGGAAGCAGCAGCCGCTGGCAGAGGAAGCCACTTCCAGGAGAACCGAACCGTTCATTCACAACAGAACGAGGCACATATCGGTCCACTCAACCTGGAATCAAAGTAAAGCTGTGGGGCTTTGGTTTGCACGGGTAACCATGGCGATCAGACAGATCGGAGCGGCGCGGGACCCCCAGCGGGGCTCCGACACTTCATGCACCGAGTTACACGAGGAACACTCAAGATCAAACACAGCAACTTTTTAATCCCCATAATAAAGAGTTTGATCTGACAAACGACGCCTCCCTTGTGGTTAGCAGTAAATTCATTGAGACCGGAAAAGTTTTATTCTTGGTTCAAACCTGACCTCCACTTACAATCACCTCCTGATTCTCCTTTCCATTCCTCATCCTTCCTCCCACCCACTCCTTCCTCTTCCTCCTCGTCCTCCTTGTCCTCCCCGGTCATGCTGATCTGGACTAATCCTGAGGGGGAACTGGGTCAGTCGGTCTTTGTGAGGAAGCTCGGGTCATTCGTGTTGAGTCTAGACACGAGGGTGGAGGCCTGCCGGCGCGGCTCGGCTAGCTGGCGCTCTGGTAAAAGATGACTTCCATACTATACCTATAAAAGATTATGGTACCCGATACTTAGGATACCACAAATAGGATACTGGAATATTTATCTATGATAGTAATAAATAAATTATCTGCAAGGTTCCCTTTATTACCTGGCATCCGACTGTCTGTGGGATAAAGAATGCTTCACTTACTTACATAAAGTTTGATATTCTCACATTGACATTTCCTTAACTAAAAGGGAAAAGAATTAGGTGAAGATCCACCAGCATGGTGCCTATTGCATCACGTGTGTATTTTTTTCCAAACGCAGTCAAACATCAAGCAAGTGCAACACAAGACAAAGCAGACGTCCTCTGTTACCCGGTAAAAAGCTAAGCTAAGCTAGGCTAAAGCTACTTGTGTTGGGCTGCATGTGGATGAGCGGTCTGCTACGTGACGTCTCTCCTGATAACTCGCTGTGAGGGACGTGACTGTTGCACGTGTGAGAGCTGCTCAGTTGATGCTGCAGCCTCAGTGAGGCGTACTGTTTACAACGTAAGGGCACCGCGGTACCTTTGTAGTACCGGTACACCGAGCAACACCGCGGCACCTTTGTAGTACCGGTACAACCGAGCAACACCGCGGTACCTTTGTAGTACCGGTACACCGTGCAACACCGCGGCACCTTTGTAGCACCGGTACACCGTGCAACACCGCGGTACCTTTGTAGTACCGGTACACCGTGCAACACCGCGGCACCTTTGTAGCACCGGTACACCGTGCAACACCGCGGCACCTTTGTAGTACCGGTACACCGAGCAACACGAGGTAAGAGGGCCTGGGGGGAATTCATGCTGGTTTGCCGCGTAACCACGGCGAGCCTCAAAGCTTTGTGGAGCGTCTCCACGTGTGTGAAGCAGGACCTGGACCCCTAATGAGCATGTGTGGAGGCACAGGACACGGTCTTACCGCGGTGTCCCTGGTGGGGGGGTCGGACTGCCAGGACGAGGCGCTGGAGGCTCTGCTGCTGCTGAAGGCTTCCTGGGTGGAGCTCCGCGACAGGCCCGTGTAGCCCGTCCGGGAGCCGGCGGCGTAGGAGTCGGCCATGTCGCTGGCCCGACTGCGGTAGCTCCGCAGGGCACTGGTGGAGGAGGTGGAGGAGGACGAGGCATCGCTGAGGCCCAGGGAGGCCAGGTCCCGGCTCAAGTCGCTCTGGGACGCGGACTTCCGTCGGGTGAGCGCGATGCCGGAGGCCGCCGGTGTGGAGGAGAGGTAGCTGGACTGGGCCGAGGAGGAGGAGGTGGAGGAGGAGTAGGGGTAGGAGCTGGTGTAGCCCGACCCCCCGCTCAGCCCCGACCCGCCATAGCTCCTCAGGGGGGTTCTGCTGAGGCTCTCGCTGCGGCGGCTGCTGCTCCCGAGGAGGTCGGTGCGCGGGACGGTCCGACCCCGGTCCGTGTCGGAGGAGGTGCTGTAGTTGCGGCTGCGGGCGGCAGAGCTGCTCAGGTAGCTGGAGGAGGAGTAACCTGAGGAGCAGGCGGGGGACCGGTAGGAGGACAGCCTGTCCCGCTCGCTATAGGAGCCGAGGCCCGGGGTCAGGGAGGAGCTGTAGGAGCCGTACTGGCTGGTGTAGGAGGAGCCGGCGTAGCGCTTGGCGGTGGAGGAGACGCGGGACATGCTGCTGGTTTCTCAGCCTCAGAGAAGGGAGAGCCTCTGGGACACCGCATGGACTGCAGGAGGAGACACCAGGGTTAGCTCATGGGTGGGAGGACACTAATCTGCTGCACGGAGGTTCAGGGAGGTGCACCACCTCTTCGGCATAACATGCCTAAACTGACCCCTAAACACTGCAAACATGTAAAAAGCCACGGGTTAAAAATGCAACGTAAATCGCTTTGGATAAAAGATAAATGACCTGTAATAACACCAGGAGGTCCACGTGTCTCCTTTTTATCTCATTCCCTCCACATCAGTTCTCCAAGTCCACTAACAACGTCCACGAGGTAGAACCTTGAGCACCGGTTCTACCTTGTGGACACATGAATGACACGTGGAGACATAATATTAATAAGTAAGAAACCTTTAGTAACATTAGTAAATAACAACAAAGCTTCAGAGAGATCACGGCGCTCACATGAGACCTGGACCAGAAGCAGAAGCAATGCTGGAGAAGACGCCACTTCACATCACTCCTTCATATCAGGGGGTTTAATATGAGCCGGGGCTATAACGGGAGAGAACGGCCTGTTAGGGGATGAAGCAGGGGCAAGAGCACAGTGTGTACCTGGGACGGGTTAGAGGGGGGGGGGGGGGGGTAAAAGAAATAGGAACCTCCCTCGTCAAGCAGCACCAGATACTTTTATTTATTTATTCAGAAGCTGTGAACAAGAGCTTCTCTCTCTCTCTCTCTCTCTCTCTCTCTCTCTCTCTCTCTCTCTCTCTCTCTCTCTCTCTCTCTCTCTCTCTCTCCTCTCTCTCTCTCTCTCTCTCTCTCCTCTCTCTCTCTCTCTCTCTCTCTCTCTCCTTTCTGGACACTTTCTCTCTCTGTGTGAATCAATAATTCATCCCTCTGGATGTGGAGCAGTTAGCTAACACAGTGCTTCCAGAGCCACTAGAGGCTAACATGCTACATGCAGCCAACCTCATTCGCCTTCAGCGGGCTTTGGAGGGTTGTTTTGGTAAAACCAATATTCCACCTCCAGTTCTTTAAAGCTGCATTCTGTGCGGTGACCAGCAGGGGGCGACTCCTCTGCTCCCATAGACGTCTATGAGGAAATGACTCTACTTCTCTGTAGTGACCAGCAGGGGGCGACTCCTCTGCTCCCATAGACGTCTATGAGGAAATGACTCTACTTCTCTGTAGTGACCAGCAGGGGGCGACTCCTCTGCTCCCATAGACGTCTATGGGGAAATGACTCTACTTCTCTCTGGATTTATTCCCTCAGTAAACATTGTAAACATGAGTTTATGTCTCAGTCTCTAGTTTCAAGTCTTCTTCAATACAACATGATGTTCATTTAGTGACTGATGGTCCATTTAGAGTCATAGGCCATAAAGCAGGGGAGGCTTTAGACACTGATTGTCTCTACGTGGTCACTTCCTCTTTCTTGTGGCACCAGCATGCGCCTCACACAGTAGCAACAGGCTGCATCTGTTTGCTACCGACGCATAAAGGACTGAAAAGCAGCAGCCGGCTGATACGGTCATTGTGCAGCACGACGATGCACAAATAAATGCTTTGGAAGCACAAACCCAACAGGGGATGAAATAGACTATATATTGTTCTGCTGCTCTTCCACTAAACGTCAATGAGAAGACGTCAGCAGCTGACTGCTGCCAGTCTTTGGCAGAGAGATGAGGTTTCACTTACTGAGTAGCTTCCAAAGGAAACACGTGACATGAATATCAGCTGATCTCTGCTAAACTAAACCAACTTTAGCAACTACTTGAGTTTAAAGAAACATAGATTTGTAACATTGTGTATCTTAAAACCCACCAGACTCCATTGACATTGTGTGACTTTGGTAAATCTCAACTAATCCTTTAAAGCACCAACGTCACACAATAACACAAACTTACGGCAGCAGTAGATCAACAGCTCTGTTTAAATGGCGGTTTTTCTCAATGGAGTCTGGTGGCTTTGTAGAGCGTTCTGGACGCTCTTAAACCTTTGAGTACTTTACGTGCATTAAACATGTAAGGAATAATATGAATACAAATAAGACTAGCAAAATAAGCATGACCAATATGTAATAATTAAATATGTAATGTTTAATGGTTTATGTGTTGTGGATTGTGATTGCGTGCATCACTGTGTTGAGAAGCCAGTCATGAATTATTATTATTAATAATTATTGATGGGAAAGTCAGCAAATAGCACCAGACATGAACCGGTTCAACAAGCTATATAATATCATGTTATAATATTACATGTTGTATTCTGTTAAGATATAATATCATATATTAATAGAATATGTTATATCATATTATTTCATCACATTAATTGACATGACCTTATATTCTAAAGTATGACATCATTTTACAATAGATGCTGTAGTGTATTTCTCATCATTTTATGACTTATGTCTTGTTGCACGTTGCTTCATAGGACGAATAAAGGATTCTCTTATCTGATCACAGCAGCACAGCATCCAAACACTCTGCTCCTTATGGGAACCATGTCAGGCATCTACGGGGCCACTGGGCCTCTGAGCAGCGCCGCTATATTTACCCTGAAATGTGAGCGGATAAGAGACGGCTGATGAGAGCGTGAGGCCCCGCTGACGGGCGACAGCACCGCCCATCTGCCCGTTAGTTTGACCCTCAGGATCCTGAACGCCACATGACCCGGTGACGTCATGAATACGATCGGGTGACGTCATGAATACGATCCTGATACACGGAAGAGGCTCAAAGCAACTGGAGGAACAGTGATCTGAGCCAGGACGTCCTGAATGAAAGATTCACTCCTAACCAACTTCTAGAAGTGGAGCGAGCTGTGTGCTCGGCAGCGGAAAGCCACACTGGTGTCGATGCAGCAGATGAACTGGTCTCCATTAGAGGTTTGAACCCAGTGAGGTTAAACCACAGAAGAAGAGGACGTAGTCATGGTGGAGCCTCCTGTTATATTGTGATATTTTGGCCATCTCCATCTTGCTTTTTCTGCAACCAGTGAACAGGAAGTGACCCTTTAAGGACCGAGGAGAATGTAGAGCCGTTGTATACGTCTCTAATAGAGACCTGTCAATCAGCGTGTAGCCCCGCCCGAAAGCCTCCCCTGCTTTATGGTCTGTTTGACTCTAAATGGACCATAATTCACTAAATGAACATCATGCTGCATTGAAGAAGACTTGAAACTAGAGACTGAGACCATAAACTCATGTTTACAATGTTTACTGAGGGAATAAATCCAGAGAGAAGTAGAGTCATTTCCTCATAGACGTCTATGGGAGCAGAGGAGTCGCCCCCTGCTGGTCACTACAGAGAAGTAGAGTCATTTCCTCATAGACGTCTATGGGAGCAGAGGAGTCGCCCCCTGCTGGTCACTACAGAGAAGTAGAGTCATTTCCTCATAGACGTCTATGGGAGCAGAGGAGTCGCCCCCTGCTGGTCACTACAGAGAAGTAGAGTCATTTCCTCATAGACGTCTATGGGAGCAGAGGAGTCGCCCCCTGCTGGTCACTACAGAGAAGTAGAGTCATTTCCTCATAGACGTCTATGGGAGCAGAGGAGTCGCCCCCTGCTGGTCACTACAGAGAAGTAGAGTCATTTCCTCATAGACGTCTATGGGAGCAGAGGAGTCGCCCCCTGCTGGTCACTACACAGAATGCAGCTTGAACACATGAAGCTCCTCAAGCCTCCACAGTGTGTTTGTGTGTGTGTGTGTGTGTGTGTGTTAGGGAATGCGTGTAGTTACCTGCCGTGTTTGTAGCGGTGTTGTCGTCTCAGTCCCCGCAGGCTGTAAAGGCTCTCGGGCAGCTCATCGTACTGTTGCTCCCCCGAGATGTCCACACACACACACACACACACACACACACACACACAGGCGTCACTGTGGAAAACACACAGACATGTTATATGACGCACACCTGTCAACAACACGGGAGTTTCTATTCAACGTGGCTCTCTTGGCGTGAAGGCTTTAAACACTAAAGGTGTGAGGACGATAACACGAGGGAAAGGTACGCGAGGAGCATCGCGTCGCCTGATAAATGTTCAAAGACGGCCGAAATCCACGTGTCCCTCGTCTCGTCTCCTCAGCACAGACCCCACATCAGCTCATGGCCCCCATGAAAGATGAATGAAGCTTGTGGTATCAAATCCGCACACGATGAAGCCCCGGTGAAGAGGTCGCTTATAGGCAAACTCCATCTTGCATCCCGTGGATCCTCCACCACTGGTTTCCATTTGTCCCATTTGTCCCCATCACAACCAGCCGCTTTGTGCCCCCCCCCCACGGGCCCTGATCCACCGTCTCCTGAGCAAGCGACCCCCCACAGAGCGAAGTCCACTGCCCTGCGCCTACCTGAGAGGGGGAGAGAGGGCGGTCCGGGGGCTTCTGGGGCTCTCGTTCTGAGCGGGCCGGTGGACGCGCAGCAATGGCGCGCTGCTCGGCAGGCTGTGAGAGGATACATGAGCGCGGCGGCCCAGAATGCAACAGATCGGGTTACGGAGCTGGTAAATATAGCAGAGGCCTACGACCCGGCGCCGGTCACTCAGCACGCCGCGGGCATTCCGGCCGGCTCTTAAAGGACCGTCACAGAAAAGAGAGGCGGGGCCGAAGCAGAGAAAAGGAAACGCCCTCCCAGCTGATCCGAGCGACTCCTCCCCCACGTTATCCGTCCAACGGGACTTCTTGTTCGCTTCATCTAAACGAGATCCTTCAATGAGTCTGTTATCAGCGAGGACGTGTGCAGGAGTACACAACAAACACAACAAGACAACACAACAAACGCAACGAGACAACACAACAATCACAACGAGACAACACAACAAACACAACAAGACAACACAACAAGACAACACAACAAACACAACGAGACAACACAACAAGACAACACAACAAACACAACGAGACAACACAACAAACGCAACGAGACAACACAACAAGACAACACAACAAACACAACGAGACAACACAACAAACGCAACGAGACAACACAACAAACACAACGAGACAACACAACAAGACAACACAACAAACACAACGAGACAACACAACAAACGCAACGAGACAACACAACAAACGCAACGAGACAACACAACAAACACAACGAGACAACACAACAAACGCAACGAGACAACACAACAAACACAACGAGACAACACAACACACCCATCGGAGCTCACCCCAACGAGGGCAACCCAACTAAACCCCACGGAGCCCACCCCACCACACGGCAACGGAGACCAACCCCAACAAACGCCAACCGAGACCAACACAAACAAACACAACGAGGCCACCTCACCAAGACAAACACAACCAAACACACGGAGACAACACAACACACACAACGGAGCTCTCGTGATACAGAGAGAAGCAGGTAGAAGAACTACTACTACTACTCCTAGAACTACTAGTATTCTATTGTCTTCTGGTGTACTATGTTGTGAACTTCTACATTAATAAGTAATACTGTGTGTATATTCGTACGTGTGTGTATTACTTATTGCACATTCTACTACTATTTTTTTCTATTTTAAATAAAACATTAAAGTCAAAACTTTTTGTTGATATTCTATTTTTGCTGTGATGTCAATATTACTTATTTTACTCTACTTTTGTGTCTTCTGATCTTTGATGGTTCAATCGCTGCTTTCGTGTTGATAAAGTTGTATCTTATTTCATAATATAGTTGTATGTATAATACATACATCATAGATACATAACGTATGTGTATTATACACATAATACGTGAATAATATACAGGAGCATTAAAAACTGGGAGAGACAGAGGAGACGGGACACGGGGAGAGACAGAGGAGACGGGACACAGAGAGAGACAGAGGAGACGAGACACGGGGAGAGACAGAGGAGACGGGACACAGAGAGAGACAGAGGAGACGAGACACGGGGAGAGACAGAGGAGACGAGACACAGAGAGAGACAGAGGAGACGGGACACGGAGAGAGACAGAGGAGACGGGACACAGAGAGAGACAGAGGAGACGAGACACGGGGAGAGACAGAGGAGACGGGACACAGAGAGAGACAGAGGAGACGAGACACGGGGAGAGACAGAGGAGACGGGACACAGAGAGATACAGTGGAGACTGGACACGGGGAGAGACAGAGGAGATGGGACACAGAGAGAGACAGAGGAGACGGGACACGGGGAGAGACAGAGGAGACGGGACTCAGAGAGAGACAGTGGAGACGAGACACGGTGAGAGACAGAGGAGATGGGACTCGGAGAGAGACAGAGGAGTCGGGACACTGAGAGAGACAGAGGAGACGAGACACAGAGAGAGACAGAGGAGACGGGACACGGAGAGAGACAGAGGAGACGGGACACAGAGAGGAGACAGAGGAGATGAGACTCTGTGAGAGACTGAGGAGACGGGGACACTGAGAGAGACAGAGGAGACGAGACACGGGGAGAGACAGAGGAGACGGGACACAGAGAGAGACAGAGGAGACGAGACACGGGGAGAGACAGAGGAGACGGGACACAGAGAGAGACGGGACACGGGGAGAGACAGAGGAGATGGGACACGGAGAGAGACAGAGGAGACGGGACACGGGGAGAGACAGAGGAGACGGGACACAGAGAGAGACAGAGGAGACGAGACACAGGGAGAGAGACAGAGGAGACGGGACACGGGGACGGAAGGGGGGCGGGGAGGAGACGGTCAGCGGGTGTTGCGAAGTTAACACAACCGCTTATTGACGGACACGTCCCGCAGCGGCTAGCTAGACAACGAGCTAACCTAGCTAGGCTAGCTAGCTGAGTGGCTAGTTGTCTGGCTCGTTAGCAGCTAGCTAGCGTTCTCTTTATTTCAAGTTGAACAGGAGTTTTCCTGTGTTGTGTTCAGGCACCACCGCGGCAATCAGAAGCGTGTAAACTTGACAACTTTCTTGTTTAAGCTAACGGTAATATGTTTCACTTTTGCGTAGCTAGTTAAACGAGCTGTCTTTAAACCGTCTCATTGTTGAATGGCGTTCGCTAAGGTACGTTTAGATTTCCCGACGTGCAACGCGCGCTCACAGCTCGGTGACAGTGGAGACTGACGGTGGCTGTGCGGTTGCTAGGCTACGTCACTGCATTCACTCACCTCACCGGATCATCGGCCCGATCGCCCCCCTCCTCCTCTCTCCTCCACCCACAGGTGTAGTTGTGCGTATTCTTGTCGCTGCTGTGAACGTTAAATGTTCCGTTTTCCGCAGTACAAGAGTTCCAGTGACAAACTAACGGTTATGTTCGCTTTAACGGGTGACGTCAGCCCGGTGGCAGAGCTGCTTTCTGATTGGTTGAAACCTCTTTGATAGCGTCACACACCTCCTCCCTGCACCATCACCATGGCGAAGAGCGTAAACATTGCAGACGGCTTTCAGTGTCCAAATGTAGCTTTCAGGGCCAATGGGAAATGCGGGAACTTGTGACATCGTTCTCTTCATAGGAGAGATGACTCATTCGGCTCCATTCATTACTCCACAGGAGGAATCTGGGCCGTCTCGCGTTACAGGAGGCCTGAGTCTGGACCTCCTGCACATTCAGTCCCACCACCATCTATAACGCAGTACGCCGAGGACACAAACAGCCCTCGGAGATGCTGCACCACCTATAGAGGCGGGTGATGACTCAAGCATCGCAATCATAGATATATGCAGGTATGTATCTAGTCTCAGAGGTCTCCATTCAGACGGGAAGTGCTGCACAGGAAGCTGCCGGATGCCTCGCATTCAACACATTAATTATCTATGTTCACATCTGAATTCCAACGGAGACGAGTGCACCGCTTCCCAGATGCTCATTGATGGGCTACGAGGTATTTGAACTACTCCGGTGAATGATTTCCTACTTTTTAAGGATCTTTTACTCTGAAACAGTTTTAGAAATGTGTCTGAGCGGCACCACCGGGCTTATGGATAAATAAAGGCCGGTACCAACGCCCTAAACGTCCTCCCTTTAAATGTCCCATTCATCTCTGGATTATGAGTTAAAGTGGTGACAGAAGTTCAACAATCAGTCACCGATGCCCTAATGTGCTGATGCATTGTGGTCCACGGAGGCTCCTGCTGGTTGAATGTCTCCGTGTAAAAGTGCTGAATGAGGAACAAAAAGACACAAAAGTGTTTTATCAGCCTCACGCAACGACCCGTCAAAAGAGAGTTTCTGTGTGTTTTTCTTTTTCTTCTTGTCTCTGGTTGAACTTTCGTAGTTAAAACAAAAGGTGATGTCGCAGTTTGCGTCTCAACATTTAGGCTCAAACACAGACTTAAGAGTTTTTGTCAAATAACAACACATTTCTGTTGTTTCGTTGCTTTATTAGTAGTGATCTTTATTAGTGGTTGAAATAAAATAGTTCCTTCAGGCTCTGTCGAAACCGAGTCAGCTTGAGTTAGTCCCATTACATTGGAGAGAAGACAGACGTCTTCAGGGCAACAAACATATAGCAAACCTTTGTCTCTCTTTGGCTTTGGGTCATACATGTGGTGAATCTTTGAACCTTGTAATGTTCATGTAGAGCACAGTGTTATATTTAATAAACTGAAATTATATATATATATATATATACAGATATCGCTTCCATATCGTCTACAACCATCCATCACTGGCAGCAGGAAGATAAAGGTTAAAGGTCCATAAAACGACAGCGTACGCGAGTAAGTGAAGACATAATGTGACTTACGTAGTCACGTTAAAGCATGAAGAATGATTAGAAGTAGATAAAAGCACAAAACAAGATCACATATCCATGAAGAGGAAGTTTGAAAGCTCAAACCCAACCACCTGGAACCCAAGGGTGCGCAGATGAATCCAGGCTAGCTGTGTTAGCGGGATAAGCTAGCAGACAGATACGATCAAACCTGGACTTTTATCTTCTCAATAGATGGATTGACTGGTTGCTTACAATTTAACATGATCAGAGAAAAGCTTATTGGAATATTGGAGAACGATGGGCGGTAAAATTGAGTTTACACTCATAGTTAAACTGTGTAAATGATCTGAGGTTTGATAGACTCGTCTAAGACTGAATATTATTCAATTAAGTGACAAGGTGTGCAAACTTTATATATATGTGTGTGTGAACAAGTCCTCCAGCCTGCTGAGCTTCTGCAAAGGAAGATCAGATCAGCTGGCTGCGACGTCTCGGATGTCGGTTCTCCGCCACTACCCAGAAGCCCATGAGCGCAGATGAGAGCCGGAACGTAGATGGACCGGTGAGAGGAAGAGCTTCCAGATGGTTTTTGCTTCATCTTCATCGCCGTTGACCACACACAGCAAACCTGTGGTTCCTCAACCTGGAAGGAGAAACCTCTCGGTACCGACCTTCATCACAGCCGCTTTAAACTGGCCCAGTGCATGATGGGTACCGCCATCACCACGGCCCCACAAACACTCCGGTACCAAGCCTTCTCCAGAAAACACACAACATTAAAATACCCCATGCATGAATTTATGATCGGGTAATCGTTCTCTTCAAAACACACTCCAGAGAGCGTGGGGACGGACGTCTTCTGAAGGGCCAGAAGACGCAAAGAAGACAACGGATGTTTTAAATCAGCTTTGGTGGCTGTGGAATGCGGCTGCTAGCTGGACAGGTTTGTCTGTAGGTGGAGGCTCCCTGAAAAAAAACAAAGCTCATTGATTCAGCTGATTTAATTAATCAATCAGCGAATCACTCGGATCGAGCCGGCCGGGTCACTTGGTCTTGGGCACCACCAGTATTTCATCTCCGTCCTGGATGCTGTAGGAGTGCACCGCCCGGGTGTTGTACTTCATCTCCTCCGGGCCGAAGGCGCTGCCCTTGTCGATGTAGTAGATCCTCATGCTGCTGGTGGACAGCTGCACCACCGTGGTGAGTTGCTTCTTCAGCTCCGCCACCGTCTGGTCCAGGCGGATGCTCAGCTGACACAGAGACACATTCTGCATTTCAGGCCCCAAACCGACACTGCGTCTTATCTCGACTGTGATGGACATCATCGCTACCACAGATGAACCAGGGAGAAGAAACACCTTCACCTCTTCCACCTTGTCCTCACAGCGAACCTCCACCAGGGCGCGGTTGCGGGGTCGGAGGTCAATCTCAGCGAGCGGCTCCAGCTTCCCGTACTTGGTCACCAGGGAGTGGTATCTGAGGAGGACGACAGGTTCCAGTCTGGGGTGTCTCCCGCTCAACATCTCCACTAGCTCAGATTATGGAAAGAAACCCATGAGAGGGACCAGATCCCCAGGGGGCTGTAATCCCGTACAAGGGTCTGGGAAATGCGTGAGACAAACAAGCTACTGGATGTCCCAGAATGTTCTTCAACAATCCAAAGACTTAAACATTAGTAAATATTTTTGGGACTAAAGACGTCAGCTTCAATCACTGACGTTAAAAACCACAAACCATCCAGAAGTCTAGGTGTAGTTACGGATTCAGACCTTCCAGATTCTACCCCGTAGAAGATATCAAAGATTGGAGGACTTCTAGAAGTCCAACTTGTCCATGACGTCATCTTCAGTGGACTTGACTATTGTAACGTGATGTTCTATGGTGAAGCATAGAACCTTCTCTACCTGTTCGGCTGCTCCTCCTCCGGGTGGTCCACGTAGTAACGGATGAAGAACCTCTCGGCGTCCTCCCTCTCACAGTCGCTCACTACGCTGCTGTTTAGCAGAGAGATCACAGGGAGGCTGGGGGGGGCGGGGCATATCGGCGGTGGATGATGTCAATCAATCAAAGTTTAAGTCTTTTGAGCAAATGAAATGTAGTTTGAAAAGTGATTTTACAACATTTGAAAGGATAAAATGGAAAGAAGAGTCGAACGCAACCAGATTACAATAAGTTGACTGATAACGGGAAAACAGTCAAGAGAGCAAAATAAAACAATAGCAAATTGTTTTATTTTGACAGGTTGGCAGTGATGAGTGGATCTGAGGGAACCGCCCCTTTGTAGCTCCTAGGTTTAGCCCCGCCCCCCCACCACAAACTCACTGCGCTATCATGAGGCTGCGGCGCTCGGCGTTGGTGTAGCTCTGCAGCAGCGGGATGCCCTGCAGACGCACCTCCTCCAGCTTGGGGAACCAGTTGAGCTTCTCGATGTCTTCCCAGCGGCTCAGACCTGCCAATCAAACAACCAATGGCTTCATCACCTTCTGCTCTCACTGCTCTGCTTCCTGCTTCAAGACGTCACTCCTTCAAATCCAACAATCAATGTGAAAACATCCGAGAAGGACGTTAGATGTTTCTCTGCTCCTCTATGACACATATATATATATATATATATATATAAGTAATATTTATGAGAGCCACCGACCCGAGTTGGTCAGGCTGATGCTGCGCAGGTTGGGGAATAGTCTCCTGAGGACGTCCTCCCCGTCCTGGATGGAGGACAGGTTGTTGTTGGACATGACCAGCGTGTCCAGGCCCGGGAACATGGGGCCCAGCTTGCGGACCTCGGCCCAGTCCTGCAGGCCGTTGTGGGTGATGTGGAGCAGCCGCAGGGTGGGGCACGCCACGCCGGAGGCCCCCACGGCCCCGTACTCGTTAAGGCACAGGAACAGCTCCTCCAGCCTGCAGGGAGGGGGGGTGATGATACATGTCTGAATATGCAAATGGAGGCTGGGCTTGGATTAAGGAGGAGTGATGAGTGGAGGGAGGAGGAGGAGAGGAGGAGGAGGAGTCCTCACTCGGGGATCTCGCTGGTGAGCAGCATCACCGTGTCCCAGGACACACGCGTGTTGTTGAGGACCAGGCGGCGGACCCGGGAGAAGCCCCCAGCGCACCGCGGCTCCAGGCTGCGGCCGGACAGAGGGTTGGAGCTCAGGTTCAGGAACTCCAGGTTCGGAATGTTGGACACGATCTTGCTGATCTGAAGATGAGACGACAGATAAATAGATAATAAACACATATCTATGTATGAAGCCAGAGGTCACGATGAGGACGCTCCAGTCACATCTATTAATATCTATGTATGAATATAGATATAGATGACTAGATACATCTACATGACGAGCACCTCTCTCCAGTCACATCTATTCTATGTATGAATATAGATATAGATGACTAGATACATCTACATGACGAGCACCTCTCTCCAGTCACATCTATTCTATATATGAATATAGATATAGATGACTAGATACATCTACATGACGAGCACCTCTCTCCAGTCACATCTATTCTATGTATGAATATAGATATAGATGACTAGATACATCTACATGACGAGCACCTCTCTCCAGTCACATCTATTCTATGTATGAATATAGATATAGATGACTAGATACATCTACATGACGAGCACCTCTCTCCAGTCACATCTATTCTATGTATGAATATAGATATAGATGACTAGATACATCTACATGACGAGCACCTCTCTCCAGTCACATCTATTCTATGTATGAATATAGATATAGATGACTAGATACATCTACATGACGAGCACCTCTCTCCAGTCACATCTATTCTATGTATGAATATAGATATAGATGACTAGATACATCTACATGACGAGCACCTCTCTCCAGTCCTGCAGCTGGTTGTGCGAGAGGTCCAGCTCGATGACGTGGGCGCAGAAGGCAGCGATCTCCGTCTGGTCTCCGGCCCGACGGATCCCACAGCTGTTCAGCACCAGGATGGTGGGCATGTTCAGCCGGTCTGGGGGCGGGAGGGGGGGGCGGGGGGGTTAAACAGAATGCTGGGGGGGGTTTCAGTGACCTCTAACTAACCTCCGGCTCACCTTTCATTGCGGAGCCCTGGGGGGCCGCTGTGGGGACCACCACCACTCCCATACCGGGTCCCCTGCGGAGGGGGAAGTTCTCCGGGCTGTACTTCTCGCTCAGGACCTCCACGAAGCTCCGCCCCCCCGCGTCCTCCGGCGGCTCCATGGCGCCGTCCCGCTCTGCTGGTCCTTTAACCACAACGTGGAATTAATTCGTGGACATTTAGGACCTGAAAGTGACACTAAAGAGGTCAGTGTTTAATATCGTGAGCTGCTGTCATCCAGCACGCGTAGCTACGGCGATAAGAGAGACACGGTTTAACCAGGAAGTAGAGAGAGGTCATTCAGAGGTCATTCAGCCAGCTGACTAACGTGTCACATCAGGAGATGTACATGATAAAAAGATAAATAGTTATTCACTTGTATTTGTTCTGCTTAGACTGATGTGTACACCCCTAAATATACATGCATGTAAACATACGATGTTGAGCACATGACAACAGGAATTCCACAGAAATCACGTCTTATTTAAAAAGAAACGCAGGACAACATCAACGCTGTGCCTGGCGTCTCCATTTTCTAATTTCCGTACCCTTCAAAGGACAGGACTTCATGTCTGCATGCACGCATAATAAATAATCATGAATTATGCACTGGTTTAATGAAATAATGAAATAAATCATCTGGTTACATCTGGAATGTGCTGCAGAGTTTCGTGGTTGAGTATGAAAGCCTTTGTTTTAGTGCAAATTCATATTAATTACTGATGTTTGTTTTGTCCGTCAAAGCACTTTGTAAACACCATTATGAAGTTATTATTATGAGTCTTCATAATACGTATTCATGTATCTATTGATCATTCATTACAGACCAGATGTTCCTCTAGTTCCTGTAACGTCTGACAGGCTAATGGAGGGAAGCATCTCACCTGCAGAGACGCCGTCCTTCTCCGGTGTGCGTGGTGGCGGCCTGTCAGAGGAGGACGCCGTTTATTCACTTTGCACAAACATGAAGCAGAGAAGAAACAAAGCGCGTGGATTCAGATTCATGGCGTCTTACTCCAGAGTGGCCGGCTGGAAGACGTCTCCGGAAGGAACGCTGGTCCCTCCTCAGGCCCGTTGCTGTGATCAGAGGACAGGGAGGACCGGGAGGACCAGGAGGACGCTCACCACATGACACTGGGTCAGAATCCAAGAACAACCAACATCTGTAGTGTAGCTAGCAGACGTTGTCCTGTTTGTTCTGGGTTATTAGTGGATGGTAGACCCCCCCCCACCCCCCATCTATAGGGATCTACAATGATCGGCAGGTTTAACAGGTTCAAGGGTCATGAGACCTTCATGGACCTGTTGAACTCAGTAAAAGCAATAACTACCACACGTATCTATCAACAGCTTCTTCTTGTTAACACAATAACAGAACTCCCATGAGAACTCGGCCAATTCAAAGTGTCTCTGTTTATCACTAAATCTTTCTCTCTCTCACGCAATCAAACATGGACCCAATCGATCAAGCAACGAGATATCTTGAATTCGTCTTTCATTCCATCAACAAAGGAATAATCGTTTGAACGGAATTTAAGTTTTACTTCGGCTAGCCCGTCGTCAGTTGGGGAATTTATACCGAGGAAGCAATAAACAAACCGAAGGTAAAAGTTGACAATTAAACGCAACTACGTGCACGTATTATATGACATATGCGACAATATCCCAAGTGTTGTCAATAAGCTGCAGGAACCTATAAACGAACTATAAACTGACTGCGCTTTTTATGCTTATGTTGCCCACTGTGGCGAATCCCGTTATGAAAAGCAGTAATTCTACTATTTCCTGCTTATCGGTAAATGCAGACATCTCAGTTAATCAAACCTGAAAGCTGCGATTCCACACGGAGCACTTGTACATTCGGCTTCCACGTTTGTGTCAAATCAACGGTTATTTGGATCGATCTCGACTCTTACACGTGCACGACTAGCAACAGCCGGTGCAAGCGGCCATGGCAACAACCGGAAGCTGCAGGTTAAAGTCCATTTATAATCGTTCTAAGAGACAATTCTTCTCTGACATTAACGCCGAATTCATGTTTAATGCTATTTGATATGCAACACGTCACAGAGTGCTGTTAATATTTTGTGCACAAGTCACGAAGGCTCAAACAACTACAAATCGACGTATTTATAAACTAAGTTTGGCCTTTTTACTAAAACGCGTCGAGCTGCCCATTTAAAGATAAACACGAGCCTTTCTATGGATGAACCTGTTTGCTGGATCACATATGAATAATAATAATAACAACAACAACAATCCCCAGCTGATGACAACGTAAGACTCACCTCCGACGTCTACTTTTAATTCCCCTTGTTGATGAAAACAAACCAGCTGTCATTTTGCTCTCGCACCATCACCCGGAAGTGACGTAGCTTGCTAGTTGCTCCCCCCTCCTCATTTCAACCACATAAAGTTTAAAGTTACAGCATAGACCATCCTTATAAAAGGTTTATCAAATAGTACAAACGGAAAACACGAGAGCGAGATGTGACAACATTGGCCAATAGATATGACGTCATAACCTGACGGAGGTTATGACGTCATATCTATTGGGTTTATTATTTGTTTACCTTATAATATCATAATTAACTATGAATTAATAATTTATTAGTAATGGCTGCATTTAATGTGTTAAACACAACAACATCTAACGGCAACATAAATGACATTTATTTATCCACATTAACAAAGATCCATTACAGGAAAACAGATCATATCATTTATTTTTAGAGCACATGTAGAACTAGTTCATAATATCCATTGATTTGTAAAGCTTTCACACATTCGTTCACCTCCAGTTATTGATCAGCAGCTGGTTTGAGTGATCAATAAATTTAGATTTGTATTGATCTGATTCTCTTAAAGCGAAACAATAAGTTCACCTGTAATCTTTAGAATGTGAACCCCAGGAAGTCGACCTGTAAGCGGACCACGAGGACACTTTTACCCTGAAAAGATTACCAGGAAAAAATAATTCATTCAAAACAATGAAAGGCTTTAAATCACTTTATGTGATTCACTTTTTAGAACAACCAGAGGAAACAAAGTATCCTGAAGCTGCTCCTGTCAATCATTTGACTGAACTCATTTTCATATTTATAGAAAACGTGTTATTTCGACCATCAACCTTTCAGGTTATGTAGAATTATATCGTAAACAAGCTAAAAAAAATAAATAAAATAAAAGTACTCATTCATATTCACTCTGAGGGTGTTTTTTTGTCCCTGCTCCCAAACCATGTACCCGTCTGTGACTACTTTGTCTCGTGAGGATAAGGGGGAGCATCTGTGAGTATCCTGATGTGTGAATGTCAGTTCATGTTACTGGTGAAGAAATAAATGAATGTGGCACACAAAAAAACCTTTTAACTCACCTGAAAACAAATGGCAAGCAGAGTAAAACATGGAGATATCAGGCTAAACACTGATGTAAGTCATGGCCGGTGTGTGGACCGCCATCATGGAAAGAGCTTATTTGTAGAGAGGCTTCGGGCCTCACGCTGAAATCCTTGGCTTGACACTGAGATCTCAGGCTGTGATTGGCTGATTTTAAACACCACCTTTCGATCATCTGATCCTATTGGATCCGACTAGCGTGACGCAGTGAAGAGCACAAGCTCGCTTAGCCACTCAGAGCAGGTAGAGCGACGTTTAACTTTCAAACCCCCCATAAATGGTAAATAGACGTACTTGTACTTTTCTTGTCTTCGGACCGCTCAAAGCGCTTTAACACTTCATGTCATCATTCACCCACTGATGATAGCAGTTTTAATTGAAGAACCTTTTCTCAACTTAAAGCTCTAAAATAAAATAACAGTTTGTTGTGAAATATTTTTCCCGTGGTGACAACAGCAGCTTTTGTCTATTTCACTTAATTGGTTAAGTTTAGCCCTTAGTTACTACAGGGAAATGTATTTCTTGTGTTTGGCGCCCCCTGTGGACTCCAGTGGTATTGTCTCTGAGCTTCAGAGCACCTTTAGAAAACCCAACCTTCCGTCTGCCGGACTGCAACCGTGTCCTCTCACACCTGCGTTCGATTAACATTTAACTGCTTTAATAGTTATTCTGTGTATTTAAAGGGGGAGATGCCGAGATCTGTTTGGAGAAAGTAAAAGCTTTCTGCATTTTGGGACAAAATGAAACAGTTCAACAAAAGACACAACTTGAGGAGCCATATTCTCATCACATGACTTTATTGTCCACAGTGCATGGCATTCATCTCATACAGTAGATACACAGCTACAAGAGAATGTGCAAGAACACTGAGGGGGAAAAGATATGCGCTGAGTGTTAATAGATGCTGCATTAAAGAACACAAATCACATCTGTTACTGGAATCAGTGCCCTCTGGAGGCCTGACAGTACATCCGTCTTCAAGCTGCTTTTATGAATCGCAACAGCTTGTTACGTGTGGCACATGTGTAGATGTATTCTGTGTCATCCTGGTCACCTGAGAGAAAAGAGAGAAGAGGGATTGATGAACAGTCACAGTAAACATATGTCCTGCTAGGAATCAATATGGTGATGACTGGTGAGGTCATTGAGGTCTGTAGGTTCTTGAGGTCTCACTTGGCTGGTAGTAGTCGTAGATCTTGACCACGGCCGGCTTCAGGTTCTGCACCTGGAGCTCCTGGATGAGGTCTAAGGTGTAATGGATGGGTACGTGCTTCTCTAACTGTTGACAAGAAAAACAGACAACGAGGTGAGGAACAAATCTCAGAGAGCGTCGTGTTTTCCTGGCTGTGAAGGTCCTCTCACCTCCGATATGTAGACCAGAACATGATCCTCATTTTGTTCCACACGATTAACCAGCACGGCGCCTTTGAGCTGCGATGAGACGAAAACCAAGATGGTTACGTCCAAAATGCTGAACTGAAGCCATCCAAACATCCACAAACCAATGAGTCCACTTCTTATGGACAGACTATAAACGTCCCTTTTCAAAGGCAAACGTAGCAGTGTGGATTAAAGTAAATCTAATAACTCACTCTTTCCAACGACTGCGGGTCTGGGGCAAACCCAGAAAGCATCTTAATATCCAGGATCACCATGTTTGTGCTGGCCTCCGTTCCTGTATACCTGCAATGGGAGCATAATAAAACATGTGATGTTACTCTGCTAAACATTTGTCCCACGTACGTCCAACAGTTTCAACCTGGTAGATGCAGAGGATTGATCATCACAGACGTCGGTATTCTGCTGTCACTGGTGTTCTGCTGGTTACTTACAGGACCTTGATCCCCAGAGTGAGTCCACGTCTTCTGCTGGTGCAGTCGACTTTTGGTGTGACCTCGACATCAAGAGTGGCGACAACGGACGGAGTCGGGACGTTATATTGAAGAGAAATCTGAGGAGGCACACAAGGGAAGTTTAATATTCATAAACGAGAATATCTGTCTTTCACTCACATTGGTTCAAATGAATGATGATCAGGATGGAGATGAACAGTTTGTGTTTCTAGAGGATCCATTTTCTACATGCTAGATCAGATACCGACTCGGTGATTAACTCTCACATCTTTCATTCTTGTGAATAATGTTTAGCATAAACCATTCTGACTAAATGCAAGTAAAAGATTTAGCACAACCGTTAAAGACAAGATCATAATTTCCTTAAATTTATTCACTGTTGTTCGCGCGGTGGTTCAAAAGTCACAAGATGAACAAAACAACACTCTCGTTAAAGGTTTAAGAAATCATTGGCTATTACTTTGTCATCAGAAGGTATTTAAGGCGTAGATTTGGGTTTCTAATGTCTGACTTTATGCAGATGACACGTTGTTATTTATATCTGAAAATGTATAGACTTGTTCAAAGATTTGGTAAACGATCATATAATAATAATTAATAATAGTATTAAATAATCTGACATGGATGCACGGTTCATCTTCAAAGGTTTGGACCTTCCACCTTCTGGGCTGTTTGGGAGGGGGGGCCACGAACTGACCTGGATCACAGCACAGGCATCACCCTTCACCTCCAGGCTGAACTTTCCTGTCGTCTCCAGCAGCAGCTTCTCCTGGTAGAGCAGTTTGTTCTTCTGGTTCACTTCAAACGTGAGCTGGCCACTGGGAGAGTGGACCGTCACCGCGCTCGAACCTCCGGGACTGAACACCAGAGTGGAGTAGAGAGCCAGAGCCTGAAGAGCCACCACCGTGTCCTGGAACACACGTTATGTTGGGGGATGTATTTACTTGTCTTTATGCATGCAGCAGCTTTTCACATGTAGGAGTTCACTCTTACTGATTTCAAGTCTCACTATTTGATTTGATTTTCAAAGAGAAATTCAGAAAATGATAGTTGGCAAAGTTTTGTGCTTTGTAGATAACAGCACAGATGTTGCTCGTCTATGAGGTTTAGTCACTGACCCTGAACTGTTTTTAGGTCATGTTGCTAGTAACGACTGCTAACAAACGATTGGGATAACGTCCAATGTTGGAGCCCCTAAATGAAGCGGGGCTTTACCTCTCTTCAGCTCACACGGCAAAGCCACAGACGAGAAGACACTCGTTGGTCTAACTCTCAGTACCAGAACCCATTGTCTTGGTCCTCCTACCTGTGTGGAGGAGAAGCCTCCGTACGGGTTCTGCTGGGTCGTCAGCCACCTGACGATGCGGGTGGCATAGCCCAGGTCTTCGGCAGTCGGCGAGGCCCCGAGTTTAGCCAGCAGAACGTAGGAGCTGATCTCAACAGACAGAGAGGCCGACGTATCTGCTGCTGTCTGAGACCAGTGGAGGAACCCTCCTACAAACAGACATCATGGACCACGTCAAGATCAAGCATTTTTATCAATTCTCCAATCGGTCTCTATTTTGAGAGGGAAAAAATAAGTTCAATCAAGATAATAATCCACATTTCTTTTTAATCCTCGCACGTATACAAATATTATTTCTTGATCAGCAACAAAAAAGTGATATTCTCTGCCAAACAGCTATGTGGTTCATTCATTTATTTTCAGAGGATAATAAATGTGTCTCAGAGTGAAGCATAAAGAGACAGAGAGGACGGGGGGCGGGGGGCTATCCCCACTCACCCTCTGGTATTGAGACCGAGTCCAAGTGCTGCAGTAGCTGAGCTCGGGCCTCCATGTCTCCTGCCAGGGTGAAGACGTACGCCAGCAGAGCCGTGGTGTAGGTGTTGCTGAAGTCACTCACATACTCTCTGAGGCAGGACAGGCTCTTCTTCACCTCAGGATCCTACAAGAGATTATGACGGATGATCTCAGGACTCGCTCTAGGAGAACTTCAGCGAGTGGAGGTAAAAAG